AGTTTATTTGTCATCATAAATATTTTTTGTGGCGATATTCTCTCGCCATAATAAGTGTGGTCTCAAAAGATTTTACGGCATCAATAGTCTGTCTCAAATAGTATTTAAGGCAGCAAGACCCTGTCGTAAATAAGTTGTCACAAAAAATTCGATACTTTTACTTTTATCACAGCGGCAAAAGTGTTGCCTCAAATACCATATTTGGCTATCGTAAAAAATATAAGATATATTTATAATGGCAACAATGTCGCCACAAAAAAAATAATCTTTTTTTTAATTATTATGGACCGTTGATAACTAATGTTATATATCCTGTGCACATATACACTCTGTAAAACTTTTTTTTTGGGAGGGGTCATCACTCTGTACAACTTTTTTTTTTGGGAGGGGAAAAGGGATTTGAACCATTGACCTCAAAAAAACAAAACTTTCATAATGTAAGGAGTAACATTAGACCAAAGATTCATTGGTATCCGTACAACTACCCAATTTAATATATAGATAAACACAAAAGTAAATATAATTAAAATTTTCAAAAACATAGTAATATTTCCATATAAAAAAAAACAATCTCATGAGTTAAATAAAATGTAAAATATACACTTTTATAAAACATAACGATCTGTGAGTACAAGAAATTAATGCAAAAATTTAAACATCCTTCCTGAACTATCTACTCTCTCAGTGACATCTGAAAAAAAAATAATTATTGCTATTATACTGAAATAATATTTGTATACATATATACAATAAATAACTAAAAGAAATTAGAATATACATTAAAAGAGGGTCACATAATATTTCTTTGAACGACTTGTCCAATTATATAAATTGTATAGAAATAAGTCATATCATATATATTTTTCTAATCAGTTTCACCAATACCTGATTCGTTTATAATCGTATCTTATTGAGTCAATTCGTTTACTAAACAGGTGATTTAAAAAAGACTTAAAACCACTAATTTTATGTCGTGTTAACGGGTCGTGTTATATTTTGACACCTTTAGTTTTGATATAAAAATTTAACTTTGTAGAGTTTAATTTTTTTTTCTTTGAACTAGAAATTGTCTTTTGATATAAAACTATGTAATTTTATAAAATATTACTTGCAACATGAAAAATAATTGTGGCCAATACAAATTTTTTTTTAGAGTTTTTCTTTTTTAAACTATAAACTATTTTTAATCTAAAACAACATTTTAATGTTTTATAAAATATTATGGGAAAAATAGCTGCCACAAATATAAAAAATTCTTTTGAGTTTATGAAATATTATTTGATGCAGGAAAAACAATTGTCTCAAAATATAATTTTTTTTTTTTGAGTTTACAACATTATTTACGGCAGAAAAAATAGCTACCATAAATATTAACAAAATATTAATACAAACACAATTGCCACAAAAAATTGTCTCAAACACTTTTTTTGTAACGACGAACACAATTACAGTAAACAATTTGTTACAAAAAATCACCGTTGTTGTTGTGTGAGTAAAGAGCCCCTGACAGAAAATATAGAAATCCTTCCTTTGTCAGTCCTCAAGACCATGGCTTCGTAAATTGGAAAGCAATTCGCTATCCCAGAACCACCTACAAACATTTGCACAAACGATCCATATAAGTTTCCAATACTGCAAACTTCTATAAGTTCCATCACAATTAATTTTCACCCAAATTCATGAGGTTTCAGCCATCTTGAATTCACAATTACAGTGTTTTTCTTTGGAATGACCTTATCGTTAAGGTATATTTAGTAAAAAGGATAAAATAATTGGAGGGATAGAAAAAGAAAAAGAGATGTATTTTCAATCCTTTGAAGAAATAAAGATATTTTCTCTTCTTTTTATTTGGTAGAAAAGATGAAAAAGTAGAAAAAATAATTTTTTTATTAATTTATTAGGTATGAGAAAAAAATTATAAGAAAAATATAAAATTTTAAATTGCATGAATACCCTTGTAAAAATATCTCATGGGTCTCACCATTATGCTGGCTTGTATAGGAAAAAAAATGTGAACCCACCACTTTTTTTTTTTTTTTTTTTGGGTACATCGGAAAATAAAATCAAACATTAAATAGAGTTTCTAACAAAGGCCACATTAGCCATATTTGCTAACAAAAGATTAGCCAATTGGAGAGAGAGATATCTCCAACTCTACAAAATGTGCTGATTGTCGAACGCCAAGGTTGACCAAAAGATCGACACATTGGTTGCCTTCTATAAGGGTGTGGATTATGGGAATGTAGTTAATCTCCATAATCCTTCTACGTGGCAAGATTACCATCCGGTTGGGGTTCGTGGCCTCCGGGTCCTTGGCCAACAGCATAGCAACTTCGTTTTTTTTTTGTTCTTTCAAAAAAGGTTCATTTTTAAGGGGTATTGTAGTAAATTTAACAATTGTGATCATTTGTCAGCACTACCCTTTCCCTTTTGGGCTCAAACTTGGGCGGATTGCAAATGGTGGGCCGGAGACCTTTTCTGTCTTATTTTTTTTTGTTCTCGTATATGGACTTATTTTTTTTGTTCGCATATATGGACTTAAGTTCGGTAATGAAATTTATTTGTTATAAAATTTATTTTTTATCATTTTAATCAGACTATTTTTTCTCTTTAAAAATTAAGTAAAACTAAAAATTAAAAAATCATAATTTTAGAAATTTGACTAACATTAAAAAAAATTTCTCTCATGTCTATTTAAATTCATATATAGGTTAGAACTATCTCTCTAATATTTATATAAAATTAAAAATAAAAAATTCAACATTCAAATACAAAAAAAAAATTATTATTTAAACACAAAAAAATACCATTTAAACACAAAAAATAGTAACATTTAAACATAAAAAAATAGTCGCATTAAATATTAATATTTTTAAAAAATAGCAATAGTAGCATATTTAACAAAAATAGTAACATGATTAACAATAATTATCTCTCTCATATCTTTCTATATTTATATATAAAATAAAGATTATATATATATATATAGTCAAATTTAAACAAAAAATAGTATCATTTAAACACAAAAAAATAGTAACATTAAATATTAATACTTAGAAAAATAATAGTAGTAATATGTTCAATAAAAACAGTAATATGCATGAACAATAACATACTCAACAAAAATAATAACATGAACAATAACATAATAAAAAAATAGTAACATGAAGTATTCAAGCCTAAATAATAATAATATTTTTTTTAAAAAAAAGGGAACATATAATCGGCATGATAGTGGATAGATGATAAAATAACAACATGATCAACAAAAAAAAAATAGTGAAAAGTTGAACAAAATTGGGTGCAAAAGAAATGAATAAAGTTCAAAGTTGCCACCAGTTTTTAAAGGGGGATTAATGATCCACCAGTTTTACAAAGGGCCTTTGTGTGCTAAGTCGTTAAATCCATCAAATTCAAATACATGCAAAGATAGATAATACAAAACAACAATTTGAGTTTTGAGAAATAGAGAAAAAATAGACAAATGATTTTTTTTGAAACCTTAACCATACCTGCGGAAGACGAATGAAAAGGGTCTTCTTGTGCTAAGCTATGAACCAGTTCCTTGATGGATTCAGCATCGCTTGCAATCACGACGACGTCGCCACTAGCTAGTCGGAGAGAGAGAGAGAGAGAGCGCTTTGAATTTGAATTTAAATTTTAAATTTATGATGGAGATTTTATTGACATATTTTAATTGACATTAAATTAAGGAATAACAATTTTTAATATAAGAAATTAATTTAACCTCCTTTTAAAGAAGGGTATTTTTGAGATTAAAAAAAAAAGTGAATTTAATTCTTTACTAAAAAGATTAAAAACGGACTTACCTCTAAATAAATTTACTTGACAGACTCAAGTCATTATAAGTTTATTTAAGAGGATTTAACCTTAATTTTCACTTTTTTTTACCTCTCCATTTTTCATCCCAACCAAATAAAGTAAAACCTCTCTTTCCCCTCTACGTTTCAAACATCTGTTTCCATCCATCCAATATTCTCTCATACCAAACAGAAGGTTATCATTTTAGAATCCACAGATAGGAAGAAATTCAAAGAAAGCCGCCTACTGTATCGACTGTGTCCTTGGCTCCCACTCCCATGAATCAGATAGTGTCATCATTCGTCCTACTACAGCCGTCCGATCCTCTGATGGAGAAGATAAGTCTCCTTGAATGGACAGTTAATAAATTGAGTGGGAATAAGTATGCAATTGCACATCTTGAAGAACTCCTAAGTCGCCAGAATAGCCTTAGCCAATTTCCTCCACATCTCCCCCTGTAGCTAAAGCTCCGTGTAATACTTTCCACATAAATGTTTGGACTTTAGGAGGGACCTAAATATATCAAAGTCATTTGAGAAATTGTAACAAACAATTGCATTGTTTGGTCCCTATGATATGAGAAATTTTTGATGTACAAATTTCATAAAAAATCATGGAACAGTTTGAGTGGTCACAATTCCATCATCATCAATGACAGTTCCAGATGCATGATGAGCATTAATGCCAAGTACAAGCAGAGACAATTACATTGTGACCTGACCCAGTTCGGTTCTAGTAGAAGACCGATTCCTTTTGGGTTTTAGTTATCTTTCCTTCATTTCTTTTGAAACAAAAGAGAAACCATGATGAAAACACGGCACAAATCAGAGTAACAGTGCTCCATTAAATCAGTTGAGTTGAGTACACATGGCTTAAAGCTTGCAAGTTGCACTCACTGGATGCCAAAAACCAATAATGCTGAAACGCAAAAGACATATTTACAAACACAGAAAACCTAAACGACTCTTCATCCATATCCAACAGAAACACCCTTAATATGCACAGACTCTAATTCTACACATTCACTAACTAATATCCCCTAAGACAGTGCAGTCTAATCAATTCTTCCTATTGGGTTACCGTTTCAGTCGTTCAAAAAAATCAGCAGTAGATTTCCAGTGTCTCCTTACTTATCTTCAACATCCTTGCTGTGGCCCAAGGAGAAACTATCCATCCCCCCTCCCCCAAAAAAAAAAAAAAAACAGAACAGAACAAAAGAAGGGTTACATTTTTTTCCTAGATTTCAGTAGCGTCCAACCTAACACAAGTTTGTTCATTGTCTGCTGTAGATTGTGGAAGCTCGCTTTCTGCACTCATTTTCTTAACATCTTGGCTTGAACAAATGAAGATCCTTCTCGCCATGTGACAGAATTCCCTGCAACGGAACAAGAAGAAAATCAACCAAATGAACTGATTTAAATTCGAAACTCTTAAGACAAATTCAAGGCTTACATCCATGGATCATCTCCCATTAACATCATATCCCCTTCATCATCTGTAAAGACAATTTCCCATTTATTCCGAGGGCGAAGCTCTCCCTTGATTTTAAACATCTCCTCGAGTTCACTTACAAGCTCATCATAACCTTTCAAAGTGGTTAAGTCCACAGCACGTCCCACTGCAAACCCTTGCATTTGAACCTAGTCGGAGATTTGCACACCAAAATTTGTTTTTTTTAAAACTTGTGATAAAGGCTCAAATGATTATAATGAAAAAAAGTCATTTACTTTCTGCCTTCATGTTACCATATACCTTGGTTCGACTTCTAGTAGAACAACTCTGCTTGCTTTGAACCTCCTTTGGTGACACCTGGAGCTGTCCCTGCTTCTGTTCTTTGGAATCGTTTGAAAGCTCAGACTTTTGCTCTGAATCAACTGCTGACATTGCACTCAGTAGATGTCCTTCACCAGTGCCGTTGGATACACAGACTGGTTTTAAAGGTGCCTTCGCAACAAGAGAGGAGGAACCTGGGGCAGGACTTATCAAATCAATACCAAACAGTCGGCAACTTGCAACAGTGTCAGACCTCATCACATCACCTAGATCAGGCGTTAGGTCATTGCTCTGCTTGGTTAAAGGCAAAGTGGAATAGCTTGAAGGAACAGACCAAGCAGAGGCACTTTTACTGTCTTCAATTTCATCAGCAAACATCTTCCGAGAAGCATTTAAATGAGAAGGCGACAGCCAGCCTCCCATCACATTCTTCCTAAAAATACTACTGCCGTTGCGATTCCTAAGAGAGGCACTAATTTCTGATTGTTTAGAATTCCATGGAACATGATTCTCACTCTTCTTTCCTTCAGTTGTACAACTCAATTTAGTTGACTCGGAGGAGGGATGCCAGACAGCTGAAGATGCAGTTTCTACAACACACACGGCAGAAGACAAATAAAAGCAATTGAGATGTCAAGACCACGTACAGAACATTGAAATAAGGTAAGGAACTTTATCTCACCAAGAACAGGGACTTCAACTGGTGGTCGGGGCCTTTTATTCTTCACAACCAGGTTTGTAGGAACAGAAGCCACAAAAGGCTCGATTTCCCACTGGGAAACCCTCTCAGGTCTTGCAATGGATGCGGGTTCATCCCATCGAACCTGTGGAAAGAAGTGGAAAGGTTACTTTTCATCTTTTCCACATCTCAAATAACTGAAAATGCATGCTCAAGCATGTTTTACCTTCAATGATCGCCATTTAGAATCTTTCCACTGGACAGAAATATCCTCAACCCCAACGATAGTGCCTGTAAACCTGATCAATCACAAGATCGTCAACAGTAATTCAACACACTTCATATAACCAGCTTATGGATATTCCACCACCTTCTCTCAGGAGAATCCTCCATCTCAAATCGCATCTTGAATCTCATGCCAACTGCAAATCCATGGTCAATGGCTTGTAGATATTTGTTCAAGCCTATAATGAACTGAGTTGTCCTGAATTTTTTCCAGAACAAATAAAGAAAAAAGGACAAAATCCAGTGATTCAGCAAGGTTTTGTCAACACAAAACCATTTCAAGTTCATGAGTTAGAATTCTTATATAGTACCTCGGCTTGTAGAAAACAACAAAAAGGGTTTGAGTTGCTACAGCATGAGATGCAGTTGCAAGCACTCCTAGGTGCATGCTCTGACTTGAAATCACCGACGAAGGCATGGAGCTCTGTTGACGAGCAAGGCGCCTAACCCCAACACGTAATTCCCCGTTCTCCCCCCTAGAAATCAAGTTTTATTAAGATGTAATGAAAAGTTATAGAGCAAAAACAGGATGTATTAAATAACCATAACAATTATCCTAGTGCCACTGTGAAAAATGTATAATAATAAGATGTTTGAGAACCAACAAAATACAAACGACACATATACCTCAGGAACACAAACGTATCCCCGGCAACTAATCTCTTAGAAGTAACAAACGTACTCCATCCTGTTGTAAGCAAATGCCTCCGTGGTTGGCCTGCTTATTTGAGACAGAAATATATGCTCACTGGCTTGGAAAAAATAATATTTGAACGAGTTCTTTAACAAAACGTCTGTTTAATCATGTTTCTTGGTTCATTTGTATATATGATCAAGTATCGCATCTCCCCATAGTTTACACTTGCAGCACAAAGACAGGAACAAAAAAGGAAATATCACCTCTAAAGATATGCTTAAAGTGCCATTCAACCCCATGAAGATCCTTGGCTACTAATTCCTGGGTTGGTGTGGGTTGGGTCATGTCCTGAACAAAAAATAGCAGTAGTCCCAATGAATCTATCAATAAAATGTGAACATATATAATCAAAAAATATTTGTGTGAATTATTAGAACAACAAGTATCATTACCAGGGAAGGAAGGCATTCATTAGCATGTTTCCGAAGGACAGAAAATCCACCATGAGTGCTCGTATCAGAGGCAGTCAAAACTTTGTAGAACGAGTGAACATTTGGTCTTGGAGGCTCAAGAGGGCATGAATCAGGACTTTTTGGCTCAGATGGCTACAGATAGTTTCACACAATTATAGTTAATCCTCCTTGAATGAAAATTTTGCCTGCTTGATCATTGAACAATCTTAAAGCAAGCACAAACATCAATTTTCCCCAATAAGAAAGAATAGTTTCTTACTTCTGATTCTGGAATTAAAGTGATTTGAGCATAAACCTCATCAGTGTCTTGTTCAGCCTACAAAGGAAAATTCTTCCAAAAATAGCTAAACCACAAATTAAATAAATATTCCGCCTGTGGTTGTTGAGCATATACAGGTGAAACAGATCTACATATTTTAGTCTTATAAGTTTTCATAAAATAGGACTAGAGAGCAGACAAAATATGCGCCTAATGGTTGACCATTAGGTCTCTTAACTAACCTACACAACCTATAGTTTGCAAGTTTCCCGAACTTTCTCAGCAACCAAACATAAACTCAAAAAGAAGGAAAATACCAGCAGCTGAATGTGACCAACACGACAGAGGATCTTTGAGGGAAGATTGAACAGCGGAATCTTCTGATCCAGTTCCTGATTTGTAGATGCCTCTAACTACCAAACCCCAAAAATAGTAAACACATAATAAAGCGTCAAACCTCATAGCCATAAAGCAAAAATCACATAAAAAGAAAATACTAAAACAGGAAGAAAAAAAAAACTCACTTGTTCCAAATGACCTTGTGGAAAATAGTACACTCTCTCACCACTTCTCGGAACATCCACCAATGGACCCGCACAAGCCTTCCATAGCTCCATATACAGATCATCATCTCCCTGGCCTGAGAATTTCCCCAGAAAAATACACACAAAACAAAATCAGAAAACAAAAACAAAGAAAACATTTTTGTTTGAAAAAAAAAAAAAAGAGTTAGTCCGTTTCATTTTACCTTCAGCCGAGAAATTATTTTGCTGCTGCGAAAACGACCCTCGATTTGCCATGAGTAAAGCGACGCGTTCGAAAAATCGAACCTTAAAATCACCAAAGTTTTACAAACCCCAAATTCACCTCAGTATACGCCTATATTTAAAATGATAATAACCGTTACAACGGTTCGGTGGAAGCTTCAACGTTTCAACTCCGCTGACAGTAAAAAAAAAAACCGTTAAACAGCGCTCTGAGAGCGCTACAAAACTGCGCTTCTCAAGGTCGGAAAACCAGCTGTACTTTTTAGCTTCTCTCTCTAGAATCCGGGAAATGAGAAACGTCGTCACAGAAACCCGTAAACGGATTAATATACGCCAGGATTTGTTCCTTTTAACTCTGCATACACTCTTCTTCTACTTGTCTGCTTGCACTGAACTGTGTGTAGTCCGTAAGACAAATCTTGCTAACTAACCATGGTTAGTTTTTAACTTGAGATTCACGGTATTGACGGAAAAAGTAAAATGACATACTGCGAGCCGTCTATTCACGGTAGCGGTCAGATTAAGGGATTGTTTGGGAGAGCTTTCGGCTGAGGACAATAAGAATTAGTTAATTATAATTAGTCGCAATCTAGTGAATTTTTTTCTTTTATTCAACAGCCAAGGTTTTTGAAAGTAATTCTCTCCTTAGTCCGATAAAAGACAGACCTACAACTTATGCATTTCTTTTCTTTTTTTTTTTCATTTTCTTAATTTTTTTATTTCATTTCAAATGAAAAAATATATAGTTAAATGAATTTAAGCATTTTCGTAATCAAAATAAAAGAATATTACCTCTTGAGTTATTAAGATGGTGCTTAATTTACGATGACTAAGGTTGTTAAAAATATTAATTATTTTTTAATGTTTTCAATAAATTAAGTTGTTTATTACCCACTAGAAAATAAATTTTACGTATAAAAGTACAAACGACTAATTATTGTAGATTATAGTGAAAAAGAAAATAAAGTTCAAAAATATGTAAAAGTGCTAATATTATCACCTTCTTTTAAAACAGAAGAGTACTTTTATACACAAAAAAGGAGAAAAGTAGGCTTTGTTGTTTCTAGCTAAATATTCACAAGTTCTCAAGCAGAACCGTTCTAACGGTAGTCAACTGGTTCATTTCTTGTTCCAAAAGCGGAATGACTGACGGTGACGGTGACGGTGACGGCTCCAGCCTCTAAGAGAGTTGTGGTTGGTGGCGTTACACTTACTTACCGTCTCGTTGGATAAATAAATATTCGGTAACGACATATTATCGGTGACAAATGATATCACAGACTAATAAAATTACATTATGTGAGATAAGTGAAATTTTACTATTCTAAGATGTTAATCAGTAGGTATAATGATTATTAAAATTTAGTAAAATAATAAAACCCACAATGATAAATTTGAAATTACCTTTTTTTTTTTTTTGAGTTCAACGATTCAGAGTATTTCAATCAATATACGTATATTTTTACTAATTCATTCTCTTGTTCAATCAAAATAAATTATTTAAACTAAAATTAAAATATTTATAAATAATAAATTTTTAATAATTTAATTTTAATGAGATGTTAAAATATAAACTCAATGCATGTCAGAGTATAGTTCATCAATGTTTTCACCAGTGTCATCTTTGCGATCTATAACTGGGCTTTATTACCGTTGTTTTCTCGTAATTGGTTGTCGTCTTCGCGACAGGCAACACGATTGGCTGGAGTAAGCCCGGCAGGACTATTTTTAATCCACTAAATTTTCCTGGAGTTTAATGGTTTGAAGTTGACCGGCTAGGTCATCACTAATTACGGAGACTGCCAAAGAATAGGGACCACATAACACGTGGGAAGCATTTGAGTCTGATTGTTTAACTTTTTCGTCTACAGTTCGATTTCGCGGGAGCATTCAGTGGTCCTCATCTGTACATGTCATCAAAGAATTCGACGTGGCTTGGGCCCCACGAGGTGTGGGGGGTTAGTCTTTAGTCATTGTCCAGTTTTATCTTTGTCTGTTTGGGTTGGAGCAGTCGATGTTACCCGGGCATCACATTCTCAGACTAGACGATGTCGTCTTGCGCCAATTGTCGGTCGTTAGTCAAAGATTGGGATCGGGCCTCTTGTTTATTTTTTATTTTTTTATCATAGGATTCGAATCTATAATCTTAAAATCGAACGGCAAGTGCAATTGAAACATTTGATGAAATTGATTGGGTGGATCATGCCTGCCCAACATATACATCGGACGAGATAAGGTTATATATCAAATAGTGAAATGTTTAAAAAAGAAAAAAAAAACTATAACTGGGATTTTTTTTCCCTGCTGGATAAAAATGTTGCAAACCAAATTTATTGGAGCATATCCACAGGCGGTAAACAACTCTTTATACATAGAACTAAAATACTTTCCACAACCAACACCTCACAAGGTTGCATCTATCTAAAGATATCTCCATGCCCCCAAAATATGTCTCCTCTTCTCACTATTTCTTGCACCCGACAACCTATACAATATGTTGATCTCTTTCTCTTAACCCCAACTAGTTGGCATTCCCACGTACTCCTCCTCCTTGCCCCATTTCCCCATCTTCCAACCAAATCATGAGATGATCAAAACTAATGCAAATTTTGTGTGACTTAAATGTGGCCCACATGATTTTTTGGCATGATATTTACTGATGAATAATTAATTGGTGATTTGGTGGGGTTAAGATAATGATAAGGTTGTCAATCCCAAACTAATCAAATAATTGATGTTTTTTGATTGGTCAAAGAGAAATAGTAATTTCCTGATATTCTACTTTAATGGAAAGTGGAGTTTATGTTAATATAAGAAATCAGACATCTCTCTAACTATAAATGTACACATGTCCCATTGATTTGTGTATCTTACCTAAAATGTTAGGAGATAGAAACTGTGTTTTTTGCTATACCAAAATACTATTCTTGTTGTTCAAGAAACTAAAATATTTACATCAATGACTTCAGGTATGTAGATCATGATGTTTTAATTCTGCAATATGAGTATGTGAAAATCATGATTGTTCTAGATTTTGGAATTAGGATTTGATTATTATTTGATCAAATTAATTAGTTTTACAAAATCCATAAAGAGAAAATGAAGATCAGATGTTTCCTCCGAGAAGGGTTAACATACTTGAAGAAAATGTGTGCCCTAAATGAGCCTCCAACCCTCAAATGCATTTGATTAGTAATAGTTTGATAGTGTTACTGCATAATTTAGTTTTTCTTAAGGGCAATGTGTGCAATAATTGTGACAACCAGTCCATAAAACATTGTGGAGGCTATTGTTATTTTCTTGCAATAGAGTTTGTCGAGTCCACATCAGCAAAGGTTACTTGATAATTACCTTTAATGAGGTGGTGGGACAAGCATCCCAAGATTAGGTGTTAAACCTTTTTTAGGCTTTCTAATAGAAAACAGGGACTAGGGTTAAGGACAAACCAATCACATTTGGTTTATGTGTATGTATGTCTGTCCCGTTGCATAATTACGCTATACGCTACATTTTTAATATCCACACTACTTTAATTAATACGATAATGAATATGTTCTTTGTGTCTCTTGCCCCCTAAAAAAAGTTTATATTCTGGCCAACAAAATTTCAAATTATCTTTTTTTTCCTTCTGCAGAGTGTTTAAATTTGTACCGATTATTCTTTTGAATTCATCGACTATCTACCGTGGGTTGAGTTAGATTAAAACATGTCCTTAAAGACACAAGAGTAACCAACTCTTTAAATCTCCATTCAACAAGAAAATTTATAACAGCAAGGGCTACTCCAAAGATAGAGATGGGTTATAACCTAAACATATTAAATTTAAAATTTGACAATTTTATCGGGTTGAGACTATAATGAAAGCAGAATATGCAAAATCATCTTCAAAACATTTAATAGCTTTTGTAATCGATGCCTGCATATTTTTTTTTTTTTTGATGTATTCAACAGTATCCGAAAGTGACATGCCATGGTTCCCCCACCAGACCTCCAAAAAGGGAATGCTTTTACTCTATAAGCCCAGAAAACATTGCTTATCCGTAATGTAATACTATAATATATGTGATGTGACTACAAATGTTTAATGGCGGAAGTTTTTACTACTTTTAACTATTTTGTTTTTGGGCAACCAAGGGACATGAATGAATGCCTCAGCAACTATATTTAAGTATTATATTATAACTCATTATATAACAAGGTCAATTATTTCGTGACTCAATAAAAATCGAGTTCTAATCGATCCTAAGTTTTTAGACTCTGTTTAGTTATAACATTAACCTCGTTAGACCCGAATGCCCCAAGTTCTTTTGTACAATATCGAGTCGTCACTAACCATTTTTCCTTAGGAAAGAAGGCATAAGGAGGAGAAACACAAGGTCATGGTTATAGGACTATTGATCTGGAATGTGGATATAAATTCGGCTTGTGCGTCTTGGCCAGCAGAAATATGGGACCCCACCAGCTACACAATCTATATAGAATTCAGAAGTTATAACTCAAATCCATACTATATCTTGAACGGGTGGATCACATTGAAAAAGTTGATGAGACCCACTCATTCTAAGGATGATATACATTTGAGTTACAACTTTTTAAGTTTCATTTGAATTGAATAGCATTACTCGTTGAACCACCATATTTTTCTACCCACCTAGGTTTTAGTAGCTTCTAATGTGGTGTATTCATAAATAAAAAAAAAAAAGAGCAATCAAGGTTAGTTTAATTGAGGTCCATTAAGCCATAATGAAGCAGCATTGTGGGTTGGAATCCATGTGAGGACAATAATAGGCAAAAAGGAAATTTTGAAGTTGCCAATGGTATACCCTTCAAGTTGCTTCCATATAAGCAAATTATATTAGCTTAGAACAATGCAAAGGGAGGTGTGAGTGGGATTTTGGTCCCCACAGGTGGTACGAACGAACTGTGACCACCTTTTGATTAGCATGAGGCTTTGTCAATCTTAGCCATTGATGTGGTCTTATCCATGAAACTCATGATCATTGGACCGACCCTAATTTCGTCTGCTTTCTTCTTCTTTTTTTTCTTTTTTTTTTTGCAATTTAGATTATTTGCGCGTTATAATGAATTAAACTATATGCTCTGTGGCTTGTGCAGGCTCCATCAATTCCTTTGAGTTTTGGTCTTGCTTACTTTACTCCCCAGGCAGACTGGTCTTTGATTTGCGTAGACCAAGAGCGAACACTCATCATTTACGACATTGTGGGAGGAGAAAATCATATGTTGGTGTTACTATTAGGTGCACGAAAAAAAAATTCAGGTCCCCTTAGAATCTTTGAAGGACTAAACCACTATGATGGTCACAGCTGGTAGGTCAATTTTGTAGCAAACTACCATGTAACAAGAATTCAAGCATTTCTCACTCATTCAAACATAGCAGACCGTATGGATTGTAACAGTAAGCAGAAAGAAAAAGGTTCATTATCCAAGCAGATTCCTGCTAGTTAACTGTTTTAGTTTAATAATATGCAGCTAACTTGTATAAAGATCAAACAAGATAGGACAACAACGTTAATAAGTGTTTTTTTTTTTTTTTTTGGGGGGGGGGGTAACTAACATAAGTTACCACTAATATTTAAGTCCAAGACCATGTTACTACTCTTTTGGGGGACGGTAGAAGCCCTATCAGTGACTGATTTAGTGACCAATTAGGTCAATGGAACCATCATTGGACTGTGCAGTTGTTCACTGTGTTTTGTGGCGATATCTTAGTGCATGTCTTTGATTGGAGAAGACAATATCCAGTTAGGGTTACATGGAACCATAAAGACTGTTTCTTCCCTCTTTTTCTTTTCCTTCCATTTCTTTTCGCGAATCTGAATTATTACTGATCTGTGGTAATGGTTTTGTAACATATACTCCTGTAATACCTCGAACGCTACGATTCTGGTTAGGTAGATTTCATATGCAACATTCTTTGAATATCACTAATTCAAGGTTTGTGCATATGAGCTTTAAACCTTGTTTTCTTCAATTATACCCTTAAGTTAAACCTAGTTTGGCCATGTGCTCGATGTTAATTAGTCTCCACACAGTACAATAGACAGCATCGAGAGCTAGTTGATTCACAAACTTTGTGCATGTCGACAATAAAGCTGCATTTAGTTTAATCTAGTGCTAAGTAGATCTTCAAATAGTACCCTAATAAAGCAACTTGACGAAATTATTTTATAATTTAGATAATTTCTTGAAAACACAATACAAAACAGTAGTAGTATAGTAATAAAGATTTTCTAGTAGCAAGTTGCAATAGTTGGAAGTTAGAAAACAAAAATAATGATTCACTCACATTCTGAGTACTTCTCTGCCTATAGCAATGGCCAATAGCAATTATCAATTGTAAAAATGGTATATTAAAGCCTAGCATCTTGTCACTATTCAAGTGAACAGAAAGGAGAAAGAGATTGGCTATGGGTCGGATGATTGATGTTTAATCCTTGTCCTATTCTGCTAAAAAAACACAATAAAGATCAGTCATTTATCGTTGAAATACTAATAGAAGAGGTGTTTTTATTATAGTTTTTTTTAGGGAGGGGGGTGGGGGCACAGAGAAATTGTTTCTCTAAACGACGTCATTTCACACACAAAAAGTATTACCAGTCATGTACAACAAAGGATTCCCACCTAGGGGCAAGGCAAGAATCACTAACCTTGCACCGTTTCCTCTAAAAGCCTTCTACTAACCGAAAAATTAGCTATTTTACAACAGCTTGTAGTATTAGGCACTGTCACCTAAGAAGACCAGATGATTATGAAATTCATCCCTCCATTGTGTTTTTATTTTTGTTTGTTGTATCCTCAATACTTCTAGCAACTGGGAAAAAAACTTATGCATCCTTTGTCCATCCGAATCATGTATATTTACACATGCACATATATATACAAACAGAAGTATATTTTGCATCCTGGCCAAAACTCATGCAACTGCAATCTAAGCACCTGCCAGTGAGTAGTGCCCCAAAGAGACAAGAACAGGGTTGATAAAGTTCCATGGCAATTTTATTCATGAAAAACCGAGAATCTCATCCTCATTAGACAAATGAAACGATGGTATGAAAATGGTGAAAAGTGCAACAATCTACCACAATTCCTCACAGCATACATAATTTTGATACTCAATTTATCTCATCTCTGCTTCAAACAACTATCGCAAAATCAATCATTCAAACAGAAAAATGTTCAGAAATTGTCCTTGAGCCTTATTTAGGGCCTGAAGGGAGCAAAAACAACCACAGAATTGTGCCCACCAAAACCAAATGAGTTAGAGATACCTGCATCCAAAAAAATATATATATTTGTTAGACAATGCTGCAATTACTTGTTACTTGCACCAAGTGTCCTGTGAATATTGACTTCAAATTTGCTAATCCATTACTTAGTACACGCTAGTCTTCCCCAGCGAGGTCAGGAAATTTTTCTTGGGAAAATTGAAAGGAGGTATACCAAATTAGAGTTAACTGTTAAAAAGTACAAAGAAAAAAATATAAAATAAAAAAGTCTTTAATTTTGATACTTATTTTTGTTCAAGTACATTATTTGAAATTTTTAGATTTTTTTGTGTCATTTTTGCCCTCCATTATCCATGCGTAATTTTTTTGGAAAATAGTGCATTAAACATCTCCTAATTTTATGGTAGAATTTTAATATTTCATATTTGTATGTCATCCCTTGATTCATACGTATTTTTTTTTAGAAAGTGATTTTGTTTTCAAATTATATTTAATGCATCTTGATTCATATGAATTTTTTTTTTTTGGAAAGTGATTTTGTTTTCAAATTATATTAATATCCGAACTCTATAACAATGTAACAATAACAGTGTAATACTTTAACAATAACAGTAGGTAACAAGATATTTACACAAAATATTGTACTATTATATTTTGTCAAACATATATTTTCATATAATTTCATTCAAAACAGTCCATTTTCGTTTTAAATTTGTTTCCACATGCACAAAATCACTTAACATTGTTTTTGTTATAGTGTATTGTTACACTGTTATGGAGTTTGGATAATAACAATTTTTGAAATTTAAACAAGTGATATATCCTAAAATAAACGGAATATTAAAGTTATCCTATAAAACTAGTAGTAGTAAGTATTTAATGCATAAATATAATTTGAAAGTAAAACCACTTTCCCAAAAAAATACGCATGAATCAAAACACATTAAAGATAAGAGATTTTAAATTAAATAACCCTAAATTTCAGCATTTAAGATAAATGTTTTGTTACAGTTTTTAGGAAAGAAAATTTTACAAAATGAGCATTTACGTATTTATATCTCAGTTGTGTAATTTTTTCCAAAACAATTTGTTCTGTGTATTTTTTTACAATTATGTCTAATTTGGTGAACCGACTTTCAAATTTATTTCTTTGATTTTTTTTTGGGGGGGGGGGGGGGGTTCCAAAACACATACCAACATTTACTTCATGCTGTTTCTTCAAATTTGGGACAGTGTCGATAGTAACATCAGGCTCCAAGTTCTACAAACATAAAGTAGGAATGCATGGACATGAGATGCATTAGAAAACCAATCCAACTGAACGAAACATAAATGGGATGAGAGGGGTGCAATGTAGTACATATTGATTAATTGTTGGATGCACCCAGCCAGTGTTGATTGCTTTTATAGTTGCAATAGCTTCCAATCCACCAGCAGCTCCAAGGCCATGTCCAATCATTGACTGAAAAAGGGAAGGGGAAAAATAATTAGGTACACTGTTCTATTACTTTGTTTTCAGCTGGATCTAATTCCCGCTAAGAATTTGATTATTTGTATTTCACAGAACAATGAGCTAATGTGGTAAAAGTTTGTCTAACTGTGACACAAAAGCAATGGTTCTTATCAATTCCTTTCCTTTGCTTTTTGTATTTTTTCAATTGTCGATTACATCTTCCTGTCCTTTATGTGTTCCTCTATGTATGTGTGTGTGTGTGCACGTGTTGAGAGAGAAAGAATAGAGGGGTTTACATAGTTTATTGCTTGCAATCAAATTTAAAACATAATGAGCTTTTGGAATTTATGCTGTTTGAATATGTAAGTGGAAGTTCATTTCTTGCCTTGGTCCCATTCATCTTCATTTCAGACGTATCCTTAAAGACCTTCTTGATGGCATTAACCTCTGCCAGATCCCCAGCAAGGGTTGACGTTGCATGAGCATTCACATAGTTCACCTGTAAATTGTGAATTTGACAAAAGTTTTATTCAGCCAATTATGACAAGGATATGGCACTGTCATGCCATAAAATGAACACTCTCACCTCTTCAGGGGAAACTCCAGCATCTTCTAGACTCTTGGTTATGCAAGAGGAAACACCGAGGCCATCTGACCGAGGATCAGTCATGTGATGAGCATCACATGTTACCGCACCTCCCAAGTACTCTGCAATTATGTTAGCTCCTCTTTTCAAAGCATGTTCCAAGCTTTCCATAATCTGTTATCAGTATATCAAGTTAGTTTTGGTGAAATTTAAAATCCAAATCACATGAAAACTGCATATAATTGCAAAGATAATTAAGATTGCTGACAAAACAAAGTATCAAATAGCAAATTTGGAATGAGTTTTAATTACCAGCACGCCAGATCCCTCTCCCATTACAAAACCATCACGGTCTTTGTCCCATGGTCTTGAAGCCTTCTGAGGTTCATTGTTTCTCTGAGACAAGGCCCGACAAGCGATGAAACCACCCACTCCGGTGGCCATAATGGCAGCCTCTGTCCCACCTGCTACCATGATATCTGCTTCACCCCTCCTTATGTGATTCGCAGCAGCATAAAAGCAGTAATTTGCAGTTGCGCAAGCCGTTGAAATGGAATAATTTGGCCCCATTAAGCCAGTATCTATAGCCAACAATGCCGACCCCATGTTGGTGATTGAATAAGGGATGAAAAAAGGAGTTATCTTCTTGTACCCCTTTTGAATAAGAGCTTCAACTCCATTGCTGAAAGCTGTTAAGCCTCCCATTCCTGTCCCCACTAGGACTCCAATTCTCGTTCTGTCCATCTGCAACACACAAGAACAGGATTTCCTTCTGAGTTTTTAAATTCATTGTGAACGGAGCTACATTTGCAAGCTGATGAGACTCACTGTTTCTAGGACTGCTTGCTCAAGGCTGGCATCATCAAGGGCCCTCTTCCCTGCAACCAAACAGTACCTCCAGCAATCATCTAGACGGCGATCATTCTTCCCATCAATGTAGCCTTTGGAGGAGAAATCGCGAATCTGACCCCCAAACTGAACAGAGAAGGTTGAAGCATCAAACCTGTCTATTAGGGAGATTCCACTCTGTCCCTCGAGGAGTTTATCATAGAATGTATCAATGTCACTGCCAAAAACAGAAACAAGCCCCATTCCTGTTATGACAACCCTTTTTTTGAGGTCCTTTTCTCTCTTGGGAGCTGAAACAGTTGGAGAAGCCACGGCCCTGATCCTTCTGCATTTGGCAGCTGAGAACAGGAAACTCAATTCGAATTAGATCGTCATGACAGGAGAAGAAGAAGATAAAGAAAGACAAATATAACATAATTGAGATTGACATAAATGCCCCCACAAATTGTCATTGTGCAGATTTATTAAGCAGGGGATTTGTAGTACTTTGAAGAACATAAAAATTTAACACAGCTATAACAAATCGCAGTAAAAAAGAACAACATTTAGAGATTGTTAAAAAAAGGTGAGTTATTACGAATTAAAGAGGTGCTAAGTGAGAGTTCTAGGACTGAACAACAGCAAATTCAGACATACTGGAAAAACTGCAATGAAGAACAGCATTAAAAGAGAACAAAAGAATGTGTTAGCTGCAAAGTTAGCTGTCCTGAATCAGTTAATTGGGACCACTTACTGTGAGCAAGGACACTTAATGCATCTTTGCTCTTGAATCAACGAATTTCACCTCCACTTTTTGCTCTTTGGCAGAGAAAATGAGGGAAAGACTAAAGCAAAATGATAACGGTTTTTTTTTAAGTAATTTATTATTCTTTTGCATTTTGCAATTACTTTTTTAAGTAGTGGTTGTTTTTCCTTGACCTGATTTGCTCCATCCATTCTAACTTATTCGCATGTATAGTTGTACACAAATTGATGGGACTTTTCTGAAATGTTCCATGATGAAGACACGTGTCCTCGGTATTACCAAAACACTGTTACTAAGATCAAGCACCATCGGCGCATAAAGTTCCTCGCCCCCGAGGTACTCGTCATATAGGATCATGGCATTCAGTACGTTTTACAACCAACACCTAGCCTCGGTCTGATATGGTACCTCGGTCGGTATCCCTCCCTCGGTTCCGAGATGAGCCTTTCCTCGGTGCCGAGAGGTACCCCGTCCTGGACGCCTCCTCTACTCCAGGATAAGCTATTGACGTACAGGTCATTAGCCTAGGCTAGTTTAGGCTATTCATCATGACCTCGTCTTACACAATTAGTGTCAGAACGTACTGGAATGCAGGGGTCACAGCCAATAGGGGATGGACGCGTGGCGTATGATATCACATCGAAGACAGAGAAACCGCATGCCGTTGCTGACACGCGACTTGGGAAAGCAAACTATTAATTACACCATTCCCTTGATGAGACCGCATTCAATGCGGTAAGGCTCGGAAATGAAAGGTAATAAATGCTCCTAATACAGAGCATTTATTGCATCCTCCCCGAGAGGAGTACATTTTACCGTCGGCATCCCGATGACATAACATTGATTGCTCGGGACCCTAAGCAGTTAAGAAGAGAAAACATTCCTCATCAGAATCAGTGCGCACACTGCCTGTACTTAATGATCACCTACTGACTACACTGACAGCAATCATGAGCTTTTGAGGTATAAATACTCCTTGCAAAAGGCAAGACGGGTATGCAACAAAAAACCCTTTACTACAATACACACTCAGTGTTTTCTCCTTCCTCTCTCTTTCTCAAAGACTGACTAGATCGTCGGAGGGGATATGTCGGAAAACACTCCGACGCCCTTCTAACTTGTTTTTTTTGTTTCAGGAACCTCTTTCAGCCTTACTGGATCGTCCTTCCGCTCCCCCAGGATTTCCCGTTGCCGTTCCAGGTTACCACCGGACCTCGCAGGCTGTTCCAAGCAGCGTGGTTGGTCACTCAATTGACTCACTCGAGTTCACCAAATGAGAGATCTGTTCTCGTTTTTTATATTGTGCAGGATCTTGCACGCACACAAATGTATATTATTGTGTCATTATATATTGAAAGATTCATTAGTTGTAAAATTGTACTTAGATATCAGCAGAATTGTTTTTGTGTTTCAAAAAAACTGTTGAAAGCAAGCGTTACCAAACGTTACATAAGATAATGTACCCTGGAAGTAGCTTTCATGACAAATAGAGCAAAATTTATGTATATGAGGTCTGGAATTCCAGAAAATATACACACACACACACATACATAGAAGATGATATGGCATAAGGGCATTGTTTGGCTATTGTGGACACGAAATTGGAGACATGTTCAAGCAAATGCAAAGTGAAGAACTGAAAGAATTATCAGACCTGGATTGGAAATGAACCCATTTGGCTTATGCCCAGCTGAAGCAAGTTGCTTCTTCTCAACTACTCTGAGCCCATTGTATTGAAACAGAGAAGCTCCATTACTTCCCGATTCTTTGGTCTTGAAGATCAAACCAGACGAACATGTACCAGCAATGCTTGCCATTTCTCTCTCCTCGCTATGCTCCCTCCTACTATCTCTCTTCCTTCCTCTCTTCAAGACAAGGATGGTTTGCTAGAAAGATATAGAGAGAGAGAGAGAGAGAGAGAGAGAGGGAGAACCTTGGTTTGTCAGTGAGAGAGAAAAATTGACATAAAATGGAAGGAGTTAACAAAGAAGGTTTTTTGGTTTTCTTGGTTGAAGATTTTGGTTGGGAACTCCGTCCAACTCTCTGGAATCTGATAGAGAACAAAATAAGGCGATGATTGCATTAAGAAAAAACGGGTTTGAACAATTTTCCTTCTTTGAGCAATGCCCCAAACACACACTGCTCACGTTTCTTATTAACAGTTTAACTACCCAAACAACCACTTGAATTCAATGAGCTCAGTACCTGACCAATGGCTGCTCATGACTGCCAAGCTGTCCTTGCGGTAGTTAATGACTCTGTGTTGCGTGTTATACTCTTCTAAAAAGCCTATTGCGGGAATTGGGCTAAACTTGGAATTGTTGTCCTAAGACTGTAAAAGGGTCATTTGTTCCCGGGTATACCACACAAACAACCCAAAAATTGTGATCTTATTCTATAGCCCAATGGGCCATGAGGCCCATGGATGGAAGTGGTACTAAGATCTTCAACACTGTTGCTAATAACAGAGATGAGAATTGGTTGAGCTTAGAAGTGGCATCCCTCTTAAAATGGTGCCCTGTTTAGCTGGAAAAGATGTTATCAGATTGACTCAAAGGTGTTGATGGTATTTTCAGTACTAAATCTGCTTGGGAAGAGAAAAATAAAACAAAATCTTTATGTTAAGCAATACCAAGACACTCTTTTACCCTACCTGGCTTGATGGGCAAAATAATATGGTTACTGCTTTCTGTTTTTTTCTCTCTCTTCCTCAACTCTCCTAGCTTGTTTACCCCGATGGTCTCTCTGGATCTCTAAACATTCGATTTGCGATAAAACTTCAAAATAGATAGATTAGTACTCACAGCACTACTATGGTTCTGATTTTAGACCAATTTAAATACGTGTTTTTTTAAAATTCTTATGCTCCGCTTGTATAATGGAAAAATGAAATGATGAAAAATTATGAGGAAAAGTTTGAGGGATAAATAAAATATCATGTTTAGTAAGAAAGAAAAATAAGAAGGATAGAAAATTGGATGGATTAACTTTCTTTCTAACTCACCAAATTCAATCCCTCCAAAATCGGAAAGAAAGTGGATAAAAAGTTAATTATTTGTATTGAAATGTATCTTATTTGTCTATATATTTTTTAATATATACATACAGTAATTTCATATAAGAAGACAATAATAAAATATGTATGTGTGTATATATATATATATATATTAAAAAATTTTAAAAAATATTTAAATATTGAAATTTTTAAAAAAAATTTCATCTTAGTTAGGGGTAGAAATTTTCAACTCAACACGATGACACAACTTGAACTCGACATAAATTTTATGATACGAACTTGAAAATGATCTGACACGCGAACAAGAAATATAAAAGACTCATATTCAGTTCAACCTGTCAAACTCAAAATTGACACCATCACCCCGTTTATTTAAAAATAAACACTTTCTCTATTTTCTCGTTTGTATGGTAATACAAAATTAACACGAAACTAACATTTTAATTAATATTATAGACATAAAAATGTTAATTATTTGTAACTATTTATCAAGCATTGACATAATTATTATATAAACAAATTTACTTATTATTATTATTATTATATTTATTTAAGTTAATTTTTAGTTTGTGGAAAAAATATTATCATGGATTCAATTAAGTGAAAAATAGAATGTTAGCGTTAATTTTTTTTATTCAAAATTTACGTAAGTCAACACGAACACAACACGAAATATACAGGTCAATTCGACACGACACAATTAGTTTAATGAGTTGAGTTAAGTTTGACTAAAGTTTGATATAAATCTGTAATAACTCAATACGAACGTGACATGACACGACTCGATTGTTACCCTTAATCTTAGTTAACACCAAAAAAAAAAAAATTAATCATTTTTTTCCCATCCATTCTACTCAACACAAAGGAAGAAAAATGTATCATTTCTACTTTTCTTCTTTAAAAGATAGCAAGTGTATATCTCTTATTTTTTATCTTTTCTACTTTTTATCATTCTTATCAAACAGATCATTAATATTAAATTACATATCGTCTATTAGAAGAATGAATACCCTCGTTACGGTTCATACTTTAATTTGTTCTTGTGATCTGACATTAAGAAAAAAAAACATATAAAAAATTGTGTGGGAGATAAGCCAAATTCTGTTTGAAAATTGCCCTTGCCATTGGTGCTGCCTTAAGATTATGAAAACAAAGAAGTTACGTGTGTTTAACGCAAATATTGCTTGCGTTGGGTAGAAAGTCTTTGCTCTTTAGTGGGTCTAAACCCAAAACAATTGATTTGATACAGTCAATGTAAAGATGGTGGCTTTACTTTTACCTTTAGACCATGTTTAGTAATTTCCATGAATTATTAAAGCAAGCACCAGCACCAGCACCAGCACCAGCACCAGCAAACCACTCCAAAACTCACAAGTTACAGATGTCTTATTGTTCTGTGCCGTAGAAATTATGCCACAAAGAAAATGCCTTTACTAAGCTCCTAATCTCACTGCACTGATTTCGGAAGAGCCCCACTCTTTACTTAAAGTGTTTGTTGGGTTGGGGCTCCACCAACCCAAATGCTTTTCCTTAGCCCATCATTACACTTTTATTCAAATAATAATGTTATATAAACTTAAAATATTAATTTAATTAAGCATAATAATTAATTTAATTGTAGGTCTTATTTTTTGTTGACATTCACTCTCTATTTTGTGGTTGTGATAATGATGCGCATAGGGTAAAGTTAATAATTTTGTTGAGGAAAATAATATATAGACTTAAAATGTTGACTTGTTTTCCTGAGGGATAAGGGTGGTTAATCCTTAAGTAGTGTGAGAAGTATGGAATCTAAGATTTCTTACCTACAAAATGATAGATTTGCCCACTGAATCACCTATAAAGATTTCATCAAATTCAATTCAAAAAACATTCTATTTCTATGTAAATAAGTAAATTATATGTAGACCAAATTTCTAGTCACATTTGTTGGTTGAATCTATTGTTGTCCTTGGATTGACAATGCGTCTCATTTTATGTTATGTGTTGCTCCCAATTTTGTTGTAGTTATAGTCATTGATCAAATAAAAGGTCCGACATAAATATGTTATGTTTCCCAGTTCAAATTGTGAGTATCTCCTCCTATAATCCAACTATACCATACTTTGTAAAATCCTCAACACGGGGTAGGGATGATAGTGGACTAAAACGGGGACGGGGTGTAGTCTCCATCCTCGTTCTCGCTTAAAAAAATTGTGTTCATTTTTGTTAAAGGATATAATTTTTATTCTCATCCCCTATCCACAGATGAATTTGTAATCCTCGCCCTCACTTTGTCCCCGCCTTCACCCTCCGCCCAAGTACAATTCTAACATAATCCAACATTATAAATAATTCAAAAAATGAAAAAAATTGCAAGTCACCAATTGAAAATTTCCACATAATTATTCTCATCAATAAGGACTTAACATTTGGTATACTGAATAAGCAAGAAGTCTATCCAACAATTTTCAAAAAGAAAAAATCATATTCAAGTAAAATATACTCAAAAATCATATCTTACACTATAATCAGAATTCAACAAAAATCATATTCAAGTCGCATAAAATTAAAAAATTCAGAATTTTGCATATCTAATACAGAAAATCATATGTAGTATATGAAAATTGCAAATCTAACACAAAAAAATAAAAAACAAAAAAATCAGAAAAAAAAAATCTAAAAACCTCGTATCTAACACATCATAGATTGAAAACAAAAATTCTCAATGGCTAACACAATACAAACTCTTAGATCTAACAAAATCCATAAAAAAGAACATAAAGATAAAGATAATATAAAAAAAGCCATAAAAAGGATCATAGATCTAACAAAAGCCATAAAAAAGAACATAAAAATAATAAATCCTATCTTATTAGACAAAGCAAAAAAAATGGGCCGATGGGTGGAAATGAGATTAGAGTTTAAAATCTTATATATATACGGGCTAGTGGGGACGGGGTGGGGGTAAGTGTCAGTTCATCCCCGCCTCCATCCCCATACAGATTTATATTAATATTTTCGTATACGCTACTGTCTGGTACATATAATTTATCTCCGGTTCAAACAAAATCAATTCAATTTTTTTTGGTCCACTACAATCCCTAAACACATGCTATTAAAACCAGCCCCACTTCAATTATCCATGACCGCCCAAAAATAGGCCACTCTTTTAGCCGACCCAATCTCCTACTGTGATTGGATCAAAAAAAACCTCCTACTGTGCTCACGTGACAACGCATAAGGCACGTGTACAACGAAGTCAACAGCCACGAATGCAAAGGTGTGAACTCATTAAAACCTGTGACCGACGAGACCTTCTAGATAAACTGGACTTTTGACAACTCCCTTCCCCCACTCTCCTACTCCTACTCCTAACCAGTCCATCTCTTTCTCTCTCTTCCACGTCAACGCGTTTTTGCGGTCACCACTCTCTCTTTCTCTCATTCGCTCACCTGTAAAAAATAAAACTTAAAAGTGTTAATAATAAATTAACCCCAAAAATTCTCTTAAATTTCAATTTATATATTTAAAGTTTAAAAATATTAATTTATACTCTCAAAAACATAAATTTATTTCAATATGAACCTGAGGCTAACTATCATCTAATGTAAAGATTAAAACTATTAATTTTATGTGCACATTGATAAATATATATATTTTTAAGAGTATATATTAATATTTTTAAATTTTAAAAGTATAAATTAAAATTTAAAATATCGTTCAGATGCAATTTGCGAATAGACCAAATGAAAGCGTCAAACTATTAATTCCAACAATCGCCTTTGACAAATCTTACACGCCATCTCAAATCCCTTTTTCTAAGAAATTTCCTCTACCCATACCCACTTCTCTTCATAAAATCTTCTCTCTAGCTCTTAATCTTCTCGTACCACCCACAAAATTTTCAGACATATATACTTCTCTCCAGTGTTAAAGCCTGTCTTTTGAACTACGGGTTGATTAATAGTAGATTTGTGTTAGATATGGAGAACAATCAATCTTTTTGGCAGTTCAGTGATGAGCTTAGGCTTCATACCAACAATTTGGCAAACCTTTCGCTCAACGACTCGATATGGAGCAACTCTTATGTGTCAAAAAGGCCTGAAGAGAGGCGGAACTTCGATGTCAGAGTCGGCGGTGAGGTCAACTCTCTTAATTCGGTGAGTTCTGTGAATAATTTGAAGCAAGATTTTAATGGGTTTAACGATAGTTGGAAGATTGGAATCGGGTCAACCGGAATTGGATCGATCGGAGAAGGGGTTAATTCGACTCAGAATATGGTTGGAGCCGGGCTAAATGGTGGGTTTAACAAAGGGATTTATTCCAGTCCTTCGGTGAATATGAATTACCACAGTAAGGGTAATAACAATGTTCTGATGAATGGTAAGGGGAAATGGAACCTTAAAGGTGAGGATGAGCATGGCTATGGGCCTAAAAGTTGGAAGAAGAACAAGAATAATAAGGATAGCAATAACGATAACAATAGTGAGAATGGTAATAAGAACGGTGTGGATAAGAGATTCAAGACACTTCCACCATCAGAATCTCTGCCTAGAAACGAGACCGTTGGTGGGTATATCTTTGTATGCAACAACGACACCATGGAAGAGAATCTCAAGAGGCAGCTCTTTGGTATGCTCCTTCTCTCTATATCTCTCTATTTGTATCTTGTATAATTTTATATGCAATTCTGCAGAACTGGTTAGTGTTTAATGTGTGCATGGCCGTATTGATTTTGTGTTACCAACATCCGGAAATCAAGAAGTGTTTTGAGTGTAAAAAAAAGCTGTCTTTTTACCTGATCCAAAAATCTGGTTGACAGATGCCGCTTTAGAAGATTGGAATCACCAGATCAACAAGTATAATCTATGGAAAATGGAACTTAGATTGCTGAAACTATCTCCCCCCCCCCTTTCTCTCCCCCGCCCAAAAAAAAAAAAAAAAAAGCAGAATGGCATGTGCAAGTGTTTGAAAGTGTGGATTATGGTTTTTGGATAGTTGTTAGATCTTATGCGAATAAATGACCAATTTAGCTGAAACAATTAATTTCAGATGTTTGGCTAATTCGGGTGAAATGTTTAATGTCTGATGTTTGGATCAGGTTTTCTGGGTTGATCTATTGTCTATTTAATGCCTAATTGCGGTTAAAATGAAATATATTTTAGATCGTTGGATAATTTTCTGTCATGACAATACAATGAATCCAAACTTTGTTAAATTCTGACTGGTAATTTTCTTACCTGTGTGTGTTGAAATCGATATGAAATTTTCTCTGCGTGAAGTATGATATTGCTGTCTAGTATGGAATTGTTTCCCTTTATTTTAGGTTGAAGGGTCACGATCATTTACAAAACCTTCCACGAATGAAGCAACCAAACACGGCCTTTAGTTGTTGGAAGTTGTCAATTTTTTTCCTGCTTCATATTGTGTACTCTTAAAGTTTTCTGCTTATATTTGTGCTCCTTTTAATTTGTTGTTCTTTTGTTATTTCTAGGTTTGCCTCCTCGCTACAGAGATTCAGTTCGGGCAATAACACCAGGATTGCCAATTTTCCTATACAACTACTCCACTCACCAACTCCATGGAATTTTCGAGGTTTGTGTTTCTCTAAATATATTGTTTAACAGCAAGTTTTCAATGGTGGTAAGGATGTTGTTTGACATCCAGAGACTTCAATGTTATTGTGTAGTGGCTGCAACACACTCCACTACTTATCTTCTAAAACTAGAGTTTATCATGTGAAATGGCCAACTATTTATCTTAATAGTGGACCTTCTAAACCTGTGTTCAGGTCTGGTGCTAGGAAATTTAGATTATGGCCTTATTTTTTCAGTTCTGGTGGTATTATTTGTTTGCTGATGTATTTTTTTACGATGGTTTATACAGGCTGCAAGCTTTGGAGGAACAAACATTGATCCAACAGCCTGGGAGGATAAAAAGAACCCCGGAGAATCACGATACCCAGCTCAGGTGTGTGTTAGTTGTGTTTCCATATTCTATGCCAATCATTGAATGGTTTCTCAAAGAAAATTCAATGTTTGTCGCCCTCTTTTTTATGTAATCAAAATTTGTTAGATTACTAGATTTGCATGTCAGTTCTGGTCAACAATTTGGCATAAAACCGCTGCAATTTTTTTAAGATCTTCTGTTTTCGGGTTTTAAGATTTACCACACTGCTGTTTGTTTGCAGGTGCGAGTTATGACAAGGAAAGTTTGCGAGCCTTTGGAAGAGGACTCATTTAGGCCAATTCTCCATCACTATGATGGTCCCAAGTTTCGACTTGAGCTAAACATTCCAGAGGTAATTACTCAATAATATTTCCTTAAATGTATTTTGCCTAGCACGTCAGGCACTTTTAAAGGTGCAGTCTGGTTAACAATGGTGGTTTGGATGTTGCAGGCTCTATCACTGTTGGATATCTTTGCAGAAAACAATTCTTGAACAACATGCCATACCGGCGCACGCATAAACATACAATACACTGAAGGAAAAGATGTTGTTCGGCAAGAATATATGTATGAAGAGTTTTGAAAGAGGAAGAATAAGGAAGGGTTTTGTACGTGCAGCCCGTGTGATGTATTATGGAGGCTGTTGTAGTCTCTTCGAGCTTCGTCTTAGCGTAAATATATCTATAAATATAAAGTATGGGAAAATATAATTTTATTTCTTGTGGCTTCAGTATGTATTTGAGAGAGCTGGATGGAAGATCTGATTTAGAGTTATGCTTATCAGAGAGAAACTTTAAGACTCTTCTTTTGCTTGTGAAGCTGTGGGAAAGTATTGCTATCCTAGTATAATGGTTTGTAGTTGAAATGGGATCAACTCTATAACAGCTTGTAAAAATAAAATGCTCTTGAGCTTAATATTGTGGTTTTGTGATAATGAAAAAAACTCAATATTGTGGTTTCATAGAAATTCTGATTTCATTTGATTTATGGTTCCATCTCTACAGATGAAAATTTCTTACAGAATAGTGTGGGGAAGAGGGTTAGGATGTATTCCTTAGATAATACCAAGTATCATCCTGTGCGATGTATGAAATTTGTAATACCGCCTCTACTCCCTCCCACAGCCACCGCCACCCCCACCCTGACCTTTACCCCTTACCTTGCTGACATTATAAAATAATTATTGACTCCTCCTGTAACGGAACTATTTGAATTGATCAAATGCCAATTATTTCCAGTCGTTGGTCATCGCAAATCGAACAATATTCATTATTATAAATCTTGAATTTCTTTATTATATTACCAGTCTTGGAGCAGGATTATTCAACCAATGATGTTGAACAAGCCCACAAAACAATATGACCAAGTTAGGTTTGGTTAGGTTGATTGTCAGAACTGTAATTGCTTATAACCTAGACGTCAAGGCTGAAGCAGTTCCAGTCTAATAACAAATGGTGAACCCAATTGGGACATTCTAAGATACGACTGATAATTGAGCTGAGCCGTGTTATTTGGGTTCGACTTGTATAGAACTTGGGTTGAAAATGTTTTAAACCCGTTTAGAAAACAAGCCTAAAAAGGTCTCATTCGAACTCGTAAAATTCGACTTATTTACATGAAAAAATAGTTGACCTATTCGGGCTCGACTCAGGCTCAATTCATTTTCTAGACGAGTCGAGGTTGAGCAATTTTTTAGACTCATTTTAAAAAAAGAGCTCGACAAATTCGACTCAAACTTATAAAACTCAACTTGATTATCAATTAGACAACCCTTATTAGGCCGAGAATTTGGATTCGAGCTTCCCTCCCACCCAAGACACCCGACCCAACCATACACACCCAGTATGAGGGATGACTCCTTGTCCAATTGCACGTCTAGAAAAGTCCATGCCCTTGCAAATAATTTGTGTTACAAAGATAAAGAGCAGCACTCTGAATCCAAACATTGAGATCTCGTAATGGGTTCTATTGAAAAAATTGAACATATAACCCATTGATTCAAAGGTTACTAAGCCCTAACATTGCTCGAAAAATAATTCATTTTTGTGCACGTGACCCTCTAACATGGGACCATCCCCATTACTCCCATTCATTTGTAAATTGATTAAGACTATGGTACTGAAGACGGTATCATACCAGAAATTACAATTTTTTGTAGGTTTCTTTGTTTTGTGGATTGTATTGTTTGACCTTTAATCCAGCAATTGAGAGCCTATGAAGATCTCTGAAACTGACATCAGAACATGCATACTTGTGTAGGAGGTGCACTCCCCCTAACCATAGATTATTGCAATGTGCCGCACCAGAAATGTCTTTATGTGCTATATTATTGATTCTATCAATGTACTATATTCTATTATTCTGCCTAGGATCAGCCTGAAAATTTGTTTAATTGATGTTTTCCAACGGTCTAATCCCTCAAGTTAGAATTCAAATTTTCAAACAAGCAAAGACAAAAATGTCTATCCTTAATCCGTGACACCTAGTTAAGATTCCACAATCTATATAGAAACACAAGCATTGCTTTCCTAGAGTAAGAGGGGGAAAAAAAAGGTGCTTCTCAAAGGGTAATGGGGAATTGCTCGGTCAAAGGGGTTGCCGTGGCACAATGTCCCAAAACTGTCCGTATAATGACAGATTCCGGAGGCATATTGCAGTTGGAAGGCCCTAAGTTAGTCGGAGAAGTCCTCAATGACTTCCCGGGTTATCGCATTTTCAGGCAAGGTCGAATGTCATCACCATTGTTTGCCCATGAACAACTTTTCAGTGGCCAAGTCTACTATCTCCTCCCAATTGTGAAGGAGAAGTTGACTCTGGCCACGGAGGACAGTAGAGAATTGAGTGTGGAGGACATGAATGAATCCGCGCCGGTTAGGATGTCATCCAGTGTAGCACTGGACCTTGTCACAAACGTAGTAGCAAAAGGGTCAGCCATTGAAGTCTTGCCACCACCACGAAAGGGTGTTTGGAGCGTGAAATTGGTGATCAATACCGAACAGTTGGAGGAGATATTGGCGGAGCAAGTGAATATAGAGGCGTTGATTGAGCAAATGAGGATGGCTGCAAGCTCAGCTAGCGGCACGCCCAAGCGGATGAGGAGCTTTTGGGGAGTAAGTAATTGGAAGCCAATTCTCACCAACATATTTTTGAAGGTGCCCAGTGATTGCCAGAACAAAGTCATTCACTAGATAAACATATCAGTTGTCTAAGATTGGGGAAGACTTTAATTAGCCAATTAGCTAAGAAGAAACTTTATTTTCAGACTATATATTGTGCTATCTGACTATAGCCTAGATGATAGAGGTGATTACGTCTGAATAACTTCTGTAATTTATACATGATCAATGCATTTCTCTTTGTATTTTGTACTACTTTTGAAGGTGCAGTTAGATGACCTCTTTTCCCCTTTTTTTTTTGGGTTTTGGATCTCTTTCTCTTTCCTTTTGTGGTTTTATATGTAGCTATGTGTAACACTCTCATTTCAGCTCACCTGCATAGATGCAGCACATAAACTTCTTCCTAAGCTAGCAACATGTAAGCCTTCAAAAGGAAAAATGGTCAAACAATGAGGTGGCTTTTGATTCAATCTTAGAATGTAAGAGATAAAAATAATAATGGCAAGCCTAAATTTTTTGATATTCTAAATGGTCATCTTTGAAGGTCCCAGAGATATCCTCCTTCCTTCTCCTCCTACTAGGCTGTTCTAACTTCTTTGATGATTAGGCCAAGTTGTTGTGGTTCTAGGACTTTATTCCTATATATATTTTTGTCACTTGGAATGGCCCTTAGCTAATTTTGTTCTCCATGATGAGCATGATGAATTAGTGGATCATCCCTTTCTTGTCTGCACCTATTCAAGAATAATGTATTCTGTGAAATTGTGTCGTCTTTAGGCTTGAATCTGGCATATTTGGGCTCTGATTAATCATTGAATAGTCGACAACTATTTAAGACAGTCCATCTATTGGTTCAGGAAACGGTGCATAGTGTTATTGTTTAACTTGGGATTCACTGTCTTGTCTGGATGATAGATGTAGAGATAGTTCATGATGTTATAATTATTTTATTTTGGACAGCGCTGAGGCCGTGAGTCCTGAAAAAATCCTATCTCCCCCCCCCCCCCCCCCCCCCCCCCCAAATCTGTCATCTCTCTCTTGTTTCAGTCTAGTCCCATCTCTCTCTCTCTCTCTCTCTCTCTCTCTCTCTCATCTTGGTTTGGTTAAATATAAGATTAGATTGCTGGATATAAATTTTTGGACACTCTTATCTTAGAAGGACTGTTTTCATAAGCGAGTTCTATTCATGAGTTCATAATAATTGGTATCAGAATTATTGATACATAGAAACGGATAAAAAAAAAAGATACAATGAATGAAAAAGGATAATGAAACTAAACTATTGATTTGTGCAAAAATACCATTTAAAATCCTACTCTAGATTTATTGATTCACACAAATTACCACTTGTAAAGGCTTTAATAAATACAAATACCTGAATTATTGGAAATAAAAGAGAAAACTCTCTCAATATTATTAGTTCACCAAAACTTATTTGTGCGAATGTTTACAAGACTTTAAGTAGTAGTAAAAATCCTAAAATAACTAGGAAATTAGAATTCTAAATAAATTAGGAAAGCAAATAAAATAAAATCCTAATTAAACCAAAAAATAAAAATAAAATAATTTCTTAATTAAATTAAGAAATAAAGTAAAATCTTATAAAATTCTCTAATTGAATGACAACGTTTAAATAAAACATCAAAAATTTTGTCACTGATGCTGCATCACTCCCCAAGTTAAAAAGATTTTGCTCTCGAATTCATGTCAAAATCTAAGTATTTGTTTGAACTTAGACTTTTCAACCATTTTATTGAACCTAAGTTTGATACTTCGATACTTTCTTGAACTTGCACTTTCGACCATCCTAATATTCATAATTATCAAATATTTTGAACTAAAAAAGAAATTGTGGCATCAAAGAAATATTAACTGACAATTTGCTCTGTGGACTATATAAAATAAATGTGAGGAAAATGGTCATGAGTACATATCATACCACTTAGAATAAATTACACCAGTCAAGAGAAGTCATTCTAGTAATTAACACCAAATGCTTTCCTTTCTTGATTTCATCTACCAAAAATTTTAGTGGGCGGGGAACTTCAACTATGATGAGAATATGGATCATCAAATTTTATATATTGTTCCTCACGAGTAGGTGACTGTTTATCAATGATGGTCGAATAACCTTGTAGCTCTCTCTTCTACTTTTTTCTCTTTTAACGATACATCATTCTCACGAAAGAAATCAATTGAATCGTCATAAACTTCATCTCTCAAATATTCATCATATATCGGGATATTACAATTATTTTTGACAATGAAAAAAGAGTCATTTTCAAAATATTCATCCTCTAAGTACTCATCATATATTGAAAGTGAATTCCAATCAACTTCTATTTATAAAGAAGATAAATCACCTTAAAAAAATATCTCTTTCCGATTCGTGTCAGATCAACTTCTATTCGTTTTTGATTGTTTCTTCTTTTTTTTTTCTTGTTTCATTTTTTGCAGTAGCCTTTTTTTATTTTTTGTCGTAGCCATGTTTCATTTTTTTGCAATAGTCTTGTTTCGTATATATGTTAGGGGTAATCTGTATCTGAAAATACGGTGCAATATAAATGATTTTGAGATGAATGTTAGTGTCCATTAGATGAGTTTATTTGAGACCGTCGGATAAACTTATTGAAATCTGTCTTGTTTTATATTACAAGTATGCATTCAAACTACTTTTCTTGTTAAAGGGGTGTACATAAAAAGGAGTGAGTTTGGTTACTAATAGGGTGTGTATAAAACTGATGAATTTAATAGTTTAATAACAAGAAAATAAATAGGAGTGAAAATAAATATTTTCGGGGGTCAAAATAGCCCCGCCCAATATAAATTCTCACTCTTACCTGATTCATTTTAATTTAACAAATATTTGTAATCTTGGATTTATAATCTAATATTTGATGCCATACATGTCCAGTGCATGGCACGCCAAGCATAGCACGCGGTTATTGATAATGTCCTAATTCGAAAATGAACCTTTTAACGACGAGTAATACTACGTGAATTTAAAAATTAGACTTAAAAATTAAATTTGATAATTATAGTAATTGATTTTACTATGAATTCTAGTATTTATTGGAACCCACTACCTATTCAAATAATTGTGATCATTAAATTTAAGGGTTAATCTCATTTTACACTACGAAAGATAGTTCGAATCTCAATTTACACCCTCAAAGAGCAAAAAATTTAATTTGCACCCTCAAAGATAGAAATTTGTATCAATGTGCACCCCAAAGATCAAAAATCTCAATTTGCACCCTCAAAGATAGAAATTTATATCAATGTGCACCCCCAAAGATCAAAAATCTCAATTTGCACCCTCAAAGATAGAAATTTATATCAATGTGCACCCCAAAGATAAAAAATCTCAATTTGCACTCTCAAATATAAAAATTTGTATCATTATGCATATAAAACTAAATTGATAAATTATACCTAGATCCTCTCATGTTTGTCACTTAATCATTTGGACCTCTTTACATTTAGAATATTACTCTTACATCTCATGACATTTATGCACGTACAACATGTAATCCACTTTCATTGATATCTGTTAATATAACCGTTAAAAAATATAATTTTATCCTAATAAAAAATTATAATTTCATATTACCCTTATTTTATGGGTCCAATATACTCTAAAGTTCAAAATCAAGCTTACCATTTGAATGTCTAATAAAATGTAGATATTTATATAATATTTTTCATATTTTTCTTTTTATAAATATCTACATTCTATTAGACATTCAAATGGTAAGCTTGATTTTGAACTTTAGAGTATATCGAATCCACAAAATAAAGGGTAATATGAAATTATAATTTTTTATTAGGATAAAATCATATTTTTTAACGATTATATTAATAGATATCAACGAAAAGTGGTTATGTTTACACATGTACAAACGTCATGAGATATAGGGGTAATATTCTAAATGTGAAGGGGTTCAAATGATTAAGTGACAAACATGAGGGGATCTATGTATAATTTATCAATTTAGTTTTAGGTGCAAATTAATACAAATTTCTATCTTTGAGGGTGCAAATTGAGATTTTTGATCTTTGGGGGTGTACATTTATACAATTTTCTATCTTTGAGGGTGCAAATTGAGATTTTTAATCTTTGAGGGTGTAAATTGAGATTCGAACGATCTTTCGGGGTGCAAAATGAGATTAACCCTAAATTTAATTTTTAAGTCCACTTAGTATCACTCGCAACCCATCAAACGACGATCGTTATACCTTGGCCGCTAAGTCATTTAGCCTCAGCTTTGCTTCTCTCTCTCTCTTCTCTCTCTCTCTCTCTCTCAGTACACATATCCATATACATATATACATAGAGATATATCAGACTACATTCGTGCGTCTACTTCGTGATCATAAATAATAATAGCAAAAAGCTCGTCTTTTCCAATTCCAAATACGTACACATATCTGACTTTTATCTATTTTTGGGTATTGACCATCTAGGGTTCTTTGTGTGCCGAGAGAGCTATTTTTATTGGCTTTTACCAATCTATTTATTGGCTTTTACCAATCTAATCGATCTAGAAATGTGGTAACGTGACAATTGAGACTTCAATGGCATCGATGACGATTTCTGAGCCATGGCCTCGTAACGAGTATGTGTCTTTTTTAGGTGTTAACAATTTGTGTTTGTTCGACTAGTTTGGGCTTTCGAGATCTCTTTCGTTCAGTTTTCAGAGCGATTTGAGATATAGTTATACAAAGAGCATAGTTCGGTTGAATTCTTGCCTATGCCTACTAGAGCGGATGTTCTTCATCGATGTAAGTGAGAGTTGGTTACTACTTATAACTTGTAACATTGGTACTGGTTAAAAACTTGGATTCAGATCTACTCTAATATACTTTCTCTTCACTTCTATTCTTAGCACATCATCCTCTATGCATTCAACTACGGCCTCAAGTGTGTCTCGTTATGTTGCGTTTCGTGTGTGAGATCAATACTCTATGAAACAGAATAATAAAAGAATACAAGAATCTATGTAGTTCGACAATTTACCTATCTAGAGCGGCTGCCTTATTTTTTATTCCACACTGAATTAAAGTTACAACTTAACATATATATCTTACAATTTTAATTTGGACATCTTGAAGGTGTAACTCTCCATACTTAGAATACGAGTCACCAATCCCAACACATTCATTGATAATAGATGATGTACCAAGAATGGAAGTGAAGATAAAGTGTATTAGAGAAATCTGAGAAGATCTCACTCCGTTGCGTCCCAAGTTCTACTCTGTTACCCTTGTTTCCCCCACATACTATTGAAGGTTTTGGGCAACACCTTTATGGATGTCACAATCTAAAAACCGTTTGTTTTAATTTTTTTTATTTTATAGGAGTATGATTTTGATCCTTCTGGTGTCATAGTGGATGCATACCAAATTTTTGCTAGGGTTGGAGCATCATGATACTTGGGTTTTCCTTTGTTCTTGATACACCTTTCCACAAAACTAACGATATTTCTTGCTTCCTTAGGGAAAAAAGCTTGAAGATGGTTTGTGGAGCCTTCTATATTGCGAAGGGGAAGGACTCGAAACCACAAGGGGAGGATGCCCACTTTATCTGTGAAGAAAAACAAACAATCGGCGTCGCCGATGGCGTCGGAGGATGTAGCAAGTATGGTGGTGACGGAGGAGAATATGCAAGAACACTTATGGCCTACTCTCTTGAAGCAGTTCAAAAGAAAGCAATGGAAGACATTGTCCCTACAAGAATTTTGAACAAAGCCTACTCCCACACTCATGTTAAAGGATCATCCACGGCTTGCGTATTAATACTCAAAGACAATGTAAGTTCCCTATTTCTTTTCTGTTGTATGGAAGATTTATTTTTTAGTATCATACCGAAAATTATTAATAAAAATAAGCATGATGTCACAACTTACTTCATTGAGGTTTCAAAAAAGTTGGCATTAGTTCTAACTATAATAATATTTTAATATCGATTTCAATTTTTTCGAGCTTCTGAAAAAATAAGGTGACCTCCAATAAATTTTAGATTATAAGTTTATCTAACTTTTGTTTTAGTTGTAAATATCAATACTATACTAAAATCGATACTATATTCATGTCCATTACTAGTTCATAATTGGTAATTTGTTCCCATTATACTTCCAACAGTACAAATACTCCATGAATGCTGTGCTAATAGGCTAATATCTTTGTAACTCTCATTACAGCACCTGCATGCTGCAAGTGTAGGAGATGGTGGTTTTTTAATAATCAGAGAGGGACAAGACGTTTACAAATCACCCATTCAGCAATGATCTTTCAATTGCCCGTACCAGATTGGCAGATCTGCTGCTCGTCCAAGTATAGCACAGGTATTGTTTCCAAATCCACCTATAAATTTACTTCATCTCCATTGTATCAAAGCTACTCTGCTATTATTTAATTTCTGAAGTTATATTGTACACTCCTTCATTCCCCTGCTCACTTGGCTGATGGTATAAGAAATTTGAGAAAACATCAAAAATAAATAAATTAGCAGTCTTCTTCTCGTTAAGGTTTAATTTACTTTGTAGTTTGAACATGGTTAGGAATTCCATTCAATTTTCTTTACTTGAGCAAACTATCCAAAAGTTGGTTATTATAACTACATCAATCGGTCTTTCAAACAAGGCAAAGATGAAAGTTTATGACCGTTTCTATATCGTACAATGGTACATGTTAGTTTGTGCGTTGTTCGAATTCTGCTTCAAAAATGTAGTATTCTAAATTTCTAATGTTATCTTTATAAAAAATGTTACAATCTTTAATCATTGTTCATCGAGCGCTTTCTATTATCTGCCTTCTATGTATGGCTTTGTGGTCATTAACAGGAGCAAATGAAGGGCGGTGCTGTTGAATTTGCTTTACTAATAGGCTAACTATTCCACTTTGATCATTATGGACTAGCACTTGTTCAGCATCAGAACATTTGTTCTCCCTTAGTGGTGCAAATGCTTCTATTTTCTGATTTTTTTTGTTTTTCCAATGTCAAGGAGTTCGAGATTCCAGTTAAAAAGGGGGACATACTTGTTGTAGGAACTGATGGATTGTTGGATAACATGTTTCCGAGAGATATCGAGAATTTAGCCAAGGTGGTGAGTGCTAATGGTGCAGAACCAGAGCAGGTGGCTTGGGCAATAGCCGAACATGCTTATTATAACTCCGTAGATAAACATGCATCAACACCATCTGTGGAAGCTTCTTTGCTGGCTGGAAAACAGCACCTTGGTGGCAAAAAAAACAATAAAAATGTTATTGTTGTTCTTATTGTCGACAAATAGTAGCTTTGTTTCTCCAATGTGTCAAGAAAAACCTGTAGGTATTAATGCACATTTATGATGGGATCAAAATTTCGCACACATTTCTCTGTATGCACAACTATGTCCACCAATACGTTGATTCAATTGATGGTGCTTTTTAGAGTTTATTCGGGTAGTTACACGAGGCATCGTATAGATATCGGCTTTTAAATACTCAAAAATACTTCGTAAAATTTAACATTTCAATCTCTTGATTCATCCCTCTTGCTTCCAGTTGGGTACAGGAAAAAAAAAGAGTACAGAAAAGATCTTTGATCAGCTCCATTATGTAACAGGCTCTTGTTAAGAATGAATCGAAAGCTATATGAGCTCAAGCATGATTAGAGTGTAGTATTGCTGTTGAAACTGAAAAAACCATTTGAACTAGTAAATTTACACGCTTGGTTAACTAGACTAGACAGTGCACTGATCTCATCGTACATGTTAAAAGGCTATTAGCTGTATGATTTGCACATGCTATATGGAAGTTATGTTGAATACCGATTCAGCTGGAAAATCACGTTGGCATCAAGAAAAGAAAGAGAACGATACTCGTGACATAAGTAGTGTATACAAAATGCTCACTCCACAAATGTCTAAGGAAAACCAGCTAAATTCACATGATTCAAACAAATTTATTTGTATCACCCCAAGTAGTAATATATGCTTCATTAACCAGTTGCTGAGCATCTAAATTGGCTCTGCACTTTAACATTGCATTGACGAAAACCACATGGATAAAACGTCTAGCGAAAGTTTTCCGGCTTCAAAAAAGCAAAAGACAGCCATATTACATTACTACATGAAGTACGATGTTCAAAAGCTCACATGGTCATATTGCTTAGCCTCAGCATCTGAACTGCAAGCAATACTCAGTTCAACCTTGACTCCATTTTCCTTATGGCTTTTTCTATGGCAGGTACATTCTTCTTGAAGGAAGACCATTGCTCAGCTGTCAAGCTAATTCCTGCATCAATAGAAACAAAATTATTTTCATCAACACCCTAAAGCAGGATGACAATTTGGAAGTTGAGCAACGTTAAAATAAGCAAGTCAACTCAACAAACTTTAATAAAAACGAATTTGGGTCAGCAAAAAGGATCCATTGTCTCTGTTTGGTTCTATCCTTAGTTGAAACCAAGAGAATCATGTCCTTGTGGCCTCAACCCACACAGTAATACACACTCGAGCTATCACGCCACAACAAAAAAAACAAAAGATTACTTGGACCCAACAAAAAGGCTCAGAGAAAGGAGATGAGGATGGTTGGTTGGACAAATTCAGAGTGCTGTAGGCTTGGCATAGCTAGCAGATAACCACTTGAAGAGGTTACCACAAGCACACACTACTTGTCAAATATCAGGAAGGGGATATATTAAGGATTATTGTTCTTTTCTTTCCAATATCCCGTCCACTTGTTTAAAAAAAATAAAAAACTTCCAGATATATGAGTGAAGGACATCCCATCCTCGTCTCTTCTCTTTTACCCCCATTTAAATGAGATAAGAAGTGGTGGTTTCCTATGAAAAACAAAATATTTTCAATAGCAAGCAAAATTCATACCACAAGCATTCTACCAAACAGCATTGGAAAACCAGTTAATCTCTCTCTCTCTCTCTCTCTCACACACACACACACACTCTCCCACATGCCCATACTAGCCCATAAGGCCATAACTATCGAGGTAATTTTTGTAAAGTTTAAAACAAGATTATCAATAGTAAGCATGTCCAAGATTATCAACTAAGGACGTGGATGGTTAAAAGAGCTCATGGGAGTTTAGAAGTTCAGAACCATCATTACCAAGACACCTCCAGCATTCACCATCACGCTGGCATAATTTTTCTCTTAAGTTAAATTCTGTACACTATTCCTTCAGAAACAAACCTAACTTCTATCTAATCCACAAAAACCTGCTCTCAATTTCTCAAATTCTTTAACTATAGTTTGGGTTTAATCAACTTGAACCATCAAGAAAATGTAAATCAATCCATTCACATGTACATCAAGCCATGGAAAAAATATATCAAATAAATATCAAAATTGAAATGAAGCATTTATACTATTACCTTTAGATGTAGGAAGCTCCTTGCCCTCTTTTCTGTAGTACTCCCTTATTGACACCAATGTCTTTCCTCTAAAATCAGTAACTGTCACCCTTCTATTCTTTGTTAGCTACAAAATACAGACAAACAATGCCATTAAAAAAATCAAACACTCTCTCCACAGCTAAGACAAAAAAGAAATTTTCTGAATGCTCCGGATCCAGACACATAATCATAACATATGCATACAAGGAATACAACGCAAATATTCATTTTCGGTACACTGATATATGAACATAGGATCAAATCACAAACATTTCTTGGACATTTCTAGGGTTTTACCGAAGATCATAACACTGAGAAAGAAAAATCACAAAAAAGAAACATATGACGGCCTAAATTATTTGGAGAACTCACTCGACAAATAATGAGATCACCCTCATCATCATACTCGTACTCTTTCTGATCAACTCCCTTCCGCTTCCCATCTTCTTCTTGTTCTTGTTCTTCTTCTTCCTCTGGCGGCTGTTCTTCTTCTTTGGACTCCAGTGCGTTGAGATACGAATCGACCACTTGCCTTACAAATCTCCTGTGATCCGGCTGGGAGAGGTCAATTCCGAGCTTTTCCGATGCCAATTTTCGGACCTTGTACTCTGTGGTTTCGTCCATGTTGGAGTTTTTTAGTACTTCCAAAACTGTTTCTTCGATTTTGTTCTGAATTTCTGGCTCCATGATGATATCTTTCTTGTTTTGTTTTTCTGTGTTTGATTGACTCAGGGAATTGACGTTTGCCAAAGGAAAGAGTGTGTATGCATTCAGCTCAATCAGGTAGTATGTCTGAATTTCATTGCTGGTACTGCCTACACAGACGATTTTCACAGATAGGACAAAAAGGGTGAATTACACTTTGAACCTGAAATTTTTTGAATTCTTAATTTAAACCTTAAAACAATAAAATTTTTATCTTCAATTAGATTTAAAAAAATTATAAATGTAATCCAAAATTAAATGTTTATTATTATTTTTTTTGACAATTTTTTTGTTGTATTTTTCATAAGATACTATTTTTACAAATAATTATGTGTATAATACTTAAGTGCTTTAAATGAAAATTTGGCACTCAAATTTTTTTTTTTAAATGGAGCACATTGTTACCTTTTTCATTTAAGTGAGGTATAATATAAAATTTTTAATCTCGTAGGTATAAATTGATAAGGTTATAATCCTTTAGGGTATAAAGTGTTATTTGCGCAATAAAAAAAGTTATGAATTTATAGCTTGGAGAGTTGAGTGTGCTTAGTATACTACAATCATGTGGCAAAGGATCACCGGACTCGAAGTGGGTCCTACTTTGGCTAAATCACGATCACACAAGGGAAGGATGATGTGGTGCGGTAATTGAGAAATTAATTAACATGCATATTCTATGGGCAGTAGTAAGAAAGGAAAAAACAAAGATATGTTTAATCTAATACAACTCTTTTATATAGTCTAAGTAATTAATATATTTCTTTTTGGAACATCTAAGTATTAATAATAATAATAATAATAATAGTATATGACAAGCCACATTCGTTTCTCTTTTACCACAAATGCGTAAAATTAACTTTGTACTAACAAAATTAGCTTTCAACATAATTTTAGCAAGACCCCAATGAAAGAATGACAAAAATTCCGAGATAAAATAAAATATAGAAAAAATGAACAAATTCTTACCACCTAACATTTATATATTAATAATAATAATACAACAACAACAACAAAAACAAAAATTGATGGGATGATCTCATTTGCTCTCACTAACAATTGCCTTTACCAAAGACACATCCCAAAAATAATTACAGATTGAATTGTCATATCACTCTCTTTTTGCACCACCTCAACAACTAAACTGCATCTCCATCACCAAGATTTTGCATCTTCATGAATTCAACAAGCTATACTCCAACTCCTGCCCTTGTTCTGGGTTTTGTTTGAAGAATGGAAGGCTCCCTGGATCTCTTTCCTCCAATATAAGACTTGTAGGTGTCTCTGGAGGATAATTGTTCAGAATGAAGTCAATTTCTTCCCCACTGATCTCTTTGTGATTGACAAGAACCTGCAATACCAATGAGCCCCCATAATTCAACCATCACAAGTTTGACCAAGAAATTAAGCATAAAACTTTGTCCTCTACAGTGCAGTGTTCTCAATTTCTGAGGAATTCATAGATTACTAGTTTTCCACAAGTTAATTCCACATCCTAATAGACAAGTTTTTTAGCTTTAATTTAATATAGACCATAAAACTTTGCCATGTAGTTAGCATGCCTGGAATACTAACTAACCATTTAGTGACATAAGACAAGACAAATTTGACCACAAATTTCACCATATACCTTCACGGTTTTAAGCAAAGCAGCATGGTGCCGCCTCAACCGAGCAACTGTTCTTCCATATGTGTCACGCATCAACTCTTCTGTCCTCCTCGCAACTTCATCCTCCAAATTGAAATTGATCGAGGGCTCAATCAGGTCATAGTCATCATAAAGCGATCCTTCAAAGTCCAGCCTTGGACCCACAAATTTAACTTTCTTTCTCCACGGAGATGGCTCTCCATGAATTACCATTGGATTCTCCAAATTCCATCTGGTTGAACAGAAAGGAAAAAACTAACATTGATGCCCAAATAGGCTGGAAAGCTTAATCGAGATGCAACAAATGAAAGGCCATACACTGTGACAATTTTACGAGCAAGCCAGGATGCATCTGCAAGGTAGTCAACCGATGCCCTTGACGTGTCCCGTCCAAAAATAACCTCTTCAGCAGCTCTCCCTCCAAGTAGTACCTTTTATAAAGAAAGAAATGCAAAGGCAACTTTAGTATAAAAAGGCTTTTTCTTTTTTTTTTTTTTGGGTTGGGGGGGGGGATGGGGTTCAAACCTGGAGGCGGTGAAGCAATTGTGGTCGGCGCTCAAACATGTATGACTCATCATCAAGTCGATGAAATACAATTTGGGACAATGTCTGCATAACGAGTGACAAAGCAAGTCAAAGCAGGACCATCATAGAGGCAAAAACAGGAAATGAAGCAAAATATCTATATAAAAAACATACTAGTTGTAAACTCAAGATCTAACTAAGAAGATTAGATGAAAGTGTTAAGAGTATCCAACAAAGAATATGTATGTATAAAAATAGCCATCCTTTAATTGTCCCCACCAGTCACTGGAATAGATGACTACTATATTCGGCTCAGTTGAGGTGGAAGAATGACCGGAAAATACAAGAGAAACAAAAGATTAAAGTGATTCTCACGTGCAACAAAAAGAAAAATGATATAAAGGAAATGGGAAGGACCTGGCCACGAGGATTGATTGAGATGCGGTCACAGCATTCAACTTTTGCATTCTCAAGTAGCCTTAGCAGATGAGAAGTCATCGCCACTCCCACTTCAGTAGTTGCCCGACGACATTGACCCTGATGACCCAACTCTATCCCAACCCGTTTTGGTCCTACTGTAAGTCGGTCCACTGCATCATCCACATCTGATTGAAGAATCGAGTCATGCCCTTTCCTGACCGCTACAAGAGCAGCCTCTTGGAGCAGCTGGGCCAACTTTGCACCCGTCCATCCTGATTAATGAAGGCATAATTTCATATATTTAGAACCATTGTAATTAGCAAAATCCTCAAAAATAAATAGATAGTCAAATTTCCCATCTCATGGCAAACATATATGCAATGTTGAACATTCCTCAATGATTATCCAAATTTACTCATTTGTATCGACCTAAGATAGGATGACTAAAAACTAGCAAAAATCATTATAGTACAGGAAAAATTGCATACCAGGTAAGTTCTGAGAATAGGTAGCTAAATCAACAGATTCTGACAATTTTACATTCCGCGCATGAACTTTCAAAATTTCCAATCTCCCTTTTGCATTAGGAGGACGAATTCTTATCTACAAGAGAAATAATATGACCACACATAGTTGTGAATTGTTTATAAAAGCAAATGCATAACTCCAGTGGATGAAAAGGCACAACTACCAACTCCAACACAATGTAATACATGTAATCCATGTTCATAGCGTCATTTTAAAACATAAACAAACTTTCCAGCAAATTTAGATTTAAATAAATTGTTAGTAGATATAACATAAACTTTAGTACTATAGGGCCAGCTGGGATGATGCAAAAGCCAGATTAAATCTCACAGGAAGGTGTGATAGCTAGACAATTACATAATGCTATTCAATAACAGATACAAACCTTACGATCGAACCGACCAGGACGAAGAAGTGCAGGATCTAACAAATCCATGCGATTAGTAGCACCCAAAAAAATAACACCTTTGCCTGTATCAAACCCATCAAGCTCTATCAATAGCTGGTTCAACGTGGTCTCCCTTTCTTGAGTAGCTGCATTATATAGGTGGTCGGTGGATTCACTAAATATTCCTTGACGCCTAAATGTAAGGAGAGGACAAATGAGAGCATTCATAACATCTATACGTAGATTAGGACACACCAATTTTTGCAGTGCTTGCATACAAAGAATCATTATGTCATAGGGGATATTGGAAAAATTAGGCATGCCAAATGTCCTAAACAAAACTGGTATCACCATTTGCATTCAGGATAATCAGCACAGAACAATATAACAGATGGGTTATCACAGGTTTAAAAGGCTTCCAGAGGATCATGTGCTCCAAAGTCAGATCATTACTTTTCATTTGCATCCAACAATGCATAGCCAACTATTTTCAGTTACATTGTTCAGATTAAGCGCACATCTCCTTAACCTTCCATTTGACCTAGAAATACCATTGCCCAAAATCAAGTCAATCTGTAGATGCAAAACAGCTGGCCTTGTTGCAGATCCCAAACATAAAACCAACACCACCCAGATTTCCCTCAAATACTAAGGCATCTAAGTAACTCAAAATTGCATTCACTTATTATTTCTACTGAGAACTAAACCTAGAGTTTTCAACATATTCAATAGCATCAGTTTAAGATTTTGGCCCATTTGGTAGTCCAACATTAGTCTCTCAACACTTCCATTTCTCGTTTGGCTGCTCATTTCTTTTATCTACTTAGTCACCCACAATTAATAAACATTTTTTTTGGACTGCCATCTGCCTTACAATGATGCATAGCAAGTCTTCCAACTGATTTATATGAAATTTTCTTAGGTTTGGTTATATATGTCAATCACACAACACAACACTCCAGAGGCAATTCTCTACATCCTCTATCAAATGGATCAAATCATGTTTCTCTCCCTTATCAATGTTGTTTTTCTTCCTAAAGATTTTCATTTTAAGTGCCAGCTGATAATATCATGTTTCAGATAGTTTGTCCTTTGCTAATTATTATCAAACTAGTTATACATAGTACGCTGCAATTAATTATTTCCTCAAGTTCAATCTTAGTTGGTAATCACCAATCCAAAACAGGCCTACGAATTAGAACATTCAGCGTCACACACATAGGTGACCCATAACACATCTAAAGGTATTTTTTTGTATGTTACTTTCTCTTTTTGTTATAAGGGAGGGAAGAGGGAAATCATTCTCTTGCTGTTTGTTATTTTCGTGGTGGGGGAGGGAAAGGGGGGGGGGGGGGGGTGAGATATATAGCAGCTCCAAAACCTTTACCACATAATTATGTACCACCATCTAAAAAAGTTAAGCAATAAATTACAAGCTTTTAGAGACCTAAAGATTAAAGAGCATCTGATAATACAAAACATATTTTCTTTAACTTGGACTATGTAATGATCAGCTTATATACAAAACTACCCAGAGCATTCATTGTGAGATGTGATGGCAAAACTAAAATCTAACTTGTGCTAAACCACACAATCATACATAGCTTATATACAAAACTACCCAGAGCATTCAATGTATCCAGCTAACGTTGCAAGGTTAGTTTGTCAAAAAAGAATTTTGCATGTGTCCCTGTCAGAAGTAATAGTTCGCAAATATTTATAGCTACCGGAAGCAGACAGACGTAATTCATAAAACTGCATTTTTCTCCAGCCAATACTTACTTTTAGAATGACCAAGAAACTAATATGCCTATGGATCCTTATAATATTTTTACAGTAAAATGGTTCAAATGTCCACTTTGACAAGACATGGAAAGGAACTTTCATACCTTGTAGCCAGTGCATCAATTTCATCAATAAAAATAACTGATGGTTTGTTTACCTGCACAGAAAATATGAGGCATTCTTCAAATTGAGCATATTAACTACCTCTTTGGTTAAGCAGATGTTAAAAAAATTTCACAAGGCTCTTCTTTTCCTTCATCAAAAATCTAATGACAAAAATTTGAACAAATATGTTTTCTAGGTTTTGAAGTTCATTGGTTCAATCCCTTGGAATACATTCAACTCATATTTCAAATATTGCATCCATCAAATAACCTTTAGGGAAGGCAGTCAGTAGTCCAAGCAGAAATGTCAAAGTACAACCAGTCTAAATTTAGTCCATAGGAGCCACTTGTCATGCAAGACAAGCACCCATATTCCTGGAAAGCCTACCCAATGATCTCCTCCCCCCTCTAACCCCCCACCCCCCAAAAAAAAACACAAAAACAAACACCCTGAAAGCTATATTTCATACACTCCATCCCAATACTAAGACACGTGGAACTCCACCTTCAAAAAAAGTGACACAGATAGAGTTGATCATAGTAAGCAGTGGAAGAACTAAACATAGGATATCAATACTGCATGCCAGGCATTTGAAGTTTATACCAACTTCCTTTAAACTATCCCTGTGGTCAGAAATTTTTAGCTCCATCCCTGTTAATAAGGTTAAATGTACATCACAGAGACTCATCCATCAAAAAGTAAACAAGAGAACTTAACCAGGTTGGGGGGCCGATTCAGTTCTTATTTAAGGATTGAGAGTGTATCTTACCTTATTTGGTACATGCCATATGGGTCAGTTTTTTTACAAGCTTTCCAACATTGACTATAATTCATCATTTTCAAGATACACTTTAAATCACACAAACAAGAGCAAACTCAAGAGAGTCTGAATAATTATTTCATTGAATTTATTTTGTAAATTTGTCCAGCAGGAAACATCTCCAGAAGAACAAATAATGTACAACACAAAATACTTCCCCTCCAAAGTTGACAAAATTATAGACCTACCAAACATTTCAATAATAGAAAGGTTGGGAGGATGTGGGGAAACAAAGACACTAGAACTTTTCAATTTATCATATCTTTCTCCACTTTCCTTCCCAAAAAGGGAAAATTTCTTACTTCCACAGAACCAGAAGAAGTGTTTTATTAGTCGCGCAAACTAAAACATGGTCTCCCTATTGTCAGCACACCTTTTGGACAGTAAGATTCTTTGAGAACCCAGTGAGGTATTTAAACAGGTTCATCTCCATCATTTAAAACTATAATAATAACCATGCAAGCAAAAGAAGTTAATGACCTACATATATTAGATTAAGTAAAGTAGCAACTTCAATGCAATATATAGGGATTCGTGAGAAATTTATCTTAAATACCGATTATCCAGGAAAATCAAATTTTACAACTCAGTAACACTTACAAGAGCAGAGAAAGATAATCTTCCCCGTCAAAAAAAAAAAAAAAAAGCGAATATTAATCTTGTAAAATTAATGGTGCCCCAAAGACAAGCACAAACAAAAATCACTCTAACACAGAACTTGGACCAAATAACATATCATAATATGCGATAAGGTCTCATTAAAGTTTGATCACCTTGGCTCTCTTGAATAGATCTCTGATCCGAGCAGAACCAACACCAACTAAAACTTCAACAAATTCGGACCCAGCCATTTGGTAAAATGGAACACCAGCTTCACCAGCAATGGCCTTGGCGACCAGGGTCTGAAAAGCATCATGTAAATATCAATTTGCACAAAGAATTTCACGGGTAAAAGTTTGCACTACGCAAAAAGACAACCAACCTTGCCGCATCCTGGAGGACCCTCTAAAAGAACCCCGTGTGGAGGCTTTATCCCCATTTTATCAAATAGTTCTGGATTCTTCAAATACCTCACCAACTAATCAGTGAAAATGCAATTACGAACCATTTAGTTTCTATGACTACAAGAGACTTGAAATTAAAAAATGAGGCTCAAAATGAATCTCCAAAGAAAGATATTAGTGCATCAGGAAAAAAAAAAAGTAACAATAATCTGCAAGGCAAAAAGAGAGAGCATCAACGTAACATCAAAAAGGTGAGCGAATAAATTAACAATGCTTGGATACTGCACAGAATTGACTGAAGTGTGATGACGAATTCCTTCCACTAATTTTTAGCACTTAGAAGTTTTTTCATAAAACTTAAATAATGTCTAAAAACTGCACAGTAACTTGACTATTGCCCAAGGTAAATAAGTCTTATTCTGGGACACAATGCTTCCTCATAAAGATAGAAACTTCCATGAACTTGACCGGAGCTACAAACAGAAAATGATATTCTTCTTTTTCTGTCAAATGACTTCCATTTTAGATTAAAACTACGTTATGAACAAAATAAACAAAAAGGAAGCAGCCAACAGTATGCTCCTCTTTGTCCTAAACAATATTTCATCAAATGCATGAAGAATTAGCAGAGCAATCTTACCTCTTGGAGCTCTTCCACTGCTTCCTCAATCCCTGCCACATCATTAAATGTAACTCCAGTTGAACCCTGAAGAATGTGATCCACTTAAAAAGAATCCTACAGGTCTCATAACTACTTTTAAGAAGATCGAAAAGTTAAGAATAATAATTCACAAGCAGAACTAACATCCACACGAGCTTGGGGTTTAGATTGAGAAAATTCAATGCCTTGCCATATATCCTGCATAATGTACACAAAATGAATTAAACTGAAAGGGGTAATCAATGCATTGCAGTAAAATTATGAACTGTCAAAGTTAACTTACCCATTTCCTGAAGTTCTTAGGTCTTCGAGAAAGAGTAAAACGTACAAGAATAACCATAGTTAAAAATACAAGCATGATTGGTTTAAGCATCTCAAGACTGGCAGATACACCACCAAATGTGTAAATTTCATACAACTTGGAGACTCCATCACTGACAATATCAGCAAAATTCTCCCAAACTCTCTCTAAAATACTGAAGACAAGACCAAACAAAAGCTTAAGAAATGGTTTAGCCATAGGCCACACCACATATAAAGTCACGGCGAAGACGAAGCTGGTCACTGCAAATACTGCTGAAGCTAGGAACCCTCCAACAACAACTGCAGCTGCAGCCATTGCAGCAGTAAGCACTCCAAGCTCTACCATCATTCTGCTGGATATTGTAGATGCCACTGGATTTGGATATTCTGGCACTTTTCCCACCCAAGACTGCACCATGAGATCCAGATGTAAGACAAAGGAGAAAAATATGAGAAAATGTGACGAAGGACCATAAGGATGAAGAAGATGATTTTCCAACATTTCACCAAGGGAATTTAGGTTTTACATATGCTTGCAATGAAGTGCTGATACAATGTAGAAAAACCTGCATCCATTTAATATAACAGGAGACAAAGAACCCTAATAATGAATATGTTATTGTAGTAACCAAGTCACTCAATTTTCAGCTGGCCTGAGAATACATCAGGCAGAGTGATGTTAACACTGACACTCAATTCAGCACAAGCCAATCCAGTATTAAGGCCCAGTTATTTGGGGGAAGTTACACAAACATTTTCACATCAAATTAGCTCCTCTGCATCTATATGCCACCATTTTCATATTTCTTTATTGATAGATAAATCCTTCTTAGAATACCTGTTTTGACACTTTTTCTTTTTGGCATTCCTCCTGTTCTGGCACATCCAACTTCAGTAAACAAAACCCTTATTTAGCGAACTCATAAGTCTGCATTGCATATGCATAAACTGCCTATGGCAACTTTAACTTACCTAATCCTCAGCAAGAGCCATGTCTAGTTCTTCACATGCACTCATTTCTATTCTTAATTCTAATAATATTGCGCCAATCCATCTAAATATACTTGTTATGATTTCTATTGTCCTTTTCATATTTTATTTTTTGAACATGAAAGACATGGAGTCGACTATCAAAAAGAAGGGTGAACTTTTTTAGAAACCTGATGAAAAAAGCAAACCGCTTTTTAGCATTTCGCTCAATGCATCAAATCTTACAAAAATGAAGCTAAAAGTAATAAAGATAGAGCTCTTAAGGTGCCAGATTCCAGCGGGAAAGGATTCTAATTCTTGCCAAAGGAAGCAATTTCAAGAGATGAGCATGCTCATTTGCCTTTCTGACCTACAAACTTAGTAAGATTGGATGTTAAGATGAGCTAAGGTTTCATCTAATTATTACTAGCGGTCCAGCCCCGTGCAATGTACGAGATTATACTTCTTGTCAATTTTTTTTTTTTTTTTTTCTCTTTTATCTAATCACATGAAAATTTTGATAAATAATTATAGTATGATTTTAGGTGATAAAAAAATATTATAAATAAATTTTAAAAAATAGTAGTTAGTTATTGGAGAGTTGAGAATGAATGGTTACAAATGACACATAGTAGGAGTTGATCGGAGGGAGCCTTAGTTTTCGAATACAAATTTACAAAATTCTAGCAGTTTAGAAAATAGAGAGGGAAGGCTTCCCATGCCCTCTCCCGTCAAAATCAAAATTGTTTGTTATATATAGATAGATAGATTATTCCTCTCTATTGCAGTGTGTCTTGTCACAACACGAAGGGATAGAACGAGCCAGTTTTGTACTTCGGTTGCTTCCGTACTAGATAAGAAGGATTAGACTTTAGATCAGTAATGGACTACATAGTGAACAGCGAGAAACAAAACTATGTCACTATTGTCTCATGAACCGTAAGGAACAGTGGCACTACCAGTGACTGACAAAAAAACAGATAAAAAACTTTTCCTACTCCAGGCAAGTAGTACGGTAGGGATACAGACTATAAATGCCGCTCCGCACATGGTAAGGATTTAGGATTTCAAACAATCATTTTGAAGAGAGTTCAGTGAAGGTTTCTAAATGTAGCCACTGAAGGCATTCTTTAAGAAAGTTAGTTTCCTGCCATTTTACTATTGACCAATATCAAAATCACAAAGTGACACATTAAAAAAGCATGCACCTTTTTTCCAGAATTCACTCTTCAGAATTGCTTACATGAAATCACCCTTTGTTGTGGAAGTAAAATTTCTTCGTTTATTTTTAGTAATATTTCCCTCAATCAACAAGATCTCCGACAGAGGCTCATTGTATATGCTGAAAGTGAATTCTAACAAACAACAAACAAGATTCAGTACCATCATTTGCTTCTCTATCTCATATCGCGGGCCTGTGTAATCCTCCAAGACAGCCTGTGCTTGGTTCTCATCCAGTCTCATCACCCTGATGAAGTTTATAAGACATTCAAACAACAATATATAAAATAATCAGAGAAAGATATAGTAAATTCAAACGAAATCACAGGTTTATGAAACTAACCACTTAGTTCTCTGCAAGCTTTTGTCACCGGGGATTTCCTTCAAGTCCACAATGAAATCTCTCATCCCATAAGAAACAACAATACTTTCCTTGAAACTCAACAACTTTATTTTATCGCTCTTCATGTTTTTCCGAAAATCCTCATAAGTCATCTTCGGCAACACCTCCAGATTCTGGTCAAATTCCTCCTCCTCTGACAAGTTCGCCCCAAAAAGCTGCTCAGGAACATAAAGTTTCCCTTTGTATTCCCTCAAAATATCCTTCAAAAAAACATTGTCAGTCTGGACAACATTTTCATCTTTACCCGCATCACCTTCTTTCTTTGACAATGCCTTCAAATTCAACCTTTTCAAAATCTCAAAAACTCCACCATCGAATCCTTTCTTTTCCAATTGTTCTTTTTCCTTTAATGTACACAGTTTATTACCAACCAAATACTTGGGTTCCACCTGGCTAGGGTTTTCCTTCAAAACCCTAGTCACAAAATCCTCTTCACCGGAAGTTCTACTATTATCACGTTGCGCAGACAACGTGGTTTTTGATTTGCATAAAACTGGCAATTGTGGATGAAATAGAGGAGGTCTTTCTCTGATCCTTTGAGTAAAATTCAAATCTCTTGAACTTTTTTTGATTGAAATTGGGATAGTGTATGATCTAAAGAGTTTAATGGAGGATTGCGAATGAGACACTCTAGCAGATATCAGAATATCAGTTCTGCCAGTTGTTGCAGAATACATATTTGCACCGCTAGGGTTCATCAAACTAGGGTTTTGAAGTTGTTGAAATGGCAAAGTGGCATTTTATTCGAGGGGCTGTAGTGATATTTGTTGAAGATTGGGAGCTTTCTGCTCTGAAAGTCGATGGGAACCAGAGTGAGAATTGACGAACTAACAGAGTGAGCAAGGGAGCTCATTTTCCGTTTATCCAATTCCGAGGCTTTAAGCGGGTCACAGTAATGACCAGTGTTTGGGTGCAAGTTTCAGGTTAACCGAGGATAACGCTATTATCATTACTCTGTATTACAGTATCCAAAAGTTATAAATTCTAAATACCCAAGAATCCGCCATTTAATTGCAAATTCACCGAGCAAAACTATCCCTGCACACCATATAGAAAATGAGTACATTATTTCATGATATTGCCAATCCATTTGACATTATAAACACCGGGAAGTCTTATCAAAATTATTCAACTTCAATTATTTCACTCATAACTCATATAATTGAATTGGTGAAGGTCGATGAGATATTTGAACGAATATCTAAAAAAAATTTTTTTGATAAATCACAGAAGCCTCGAGTTTAAAAACTTCAAAAATTCATTCTTCTAATAATGTTGCTTAAACTCGCTCTCTTATCTTTAAGAAAAGATTCATGTAACCAAGGACCACTTCTCCCATGCTTCTCTATGGCAAGAACGAGTCTATTTTACATAAGATAGTCTCAACAATCGTTTTATTGGTATCGATTTAGATGCTTTTGGGAGGGTAGCGGGACCGGTTCTTCCGCATTATCAACAAATCGGTCTTCCAAAAGAAGTTGGAAAGATTACAAAGGATAGTGATATAAGATAAACTGCTCCTTTAACTATTAAGAAATCAGCTATGCTCACAGCATACAAGGTGCTAAAGGGTAAAATTCTAAACGAAAGCTAGGTCAATCAAAACCGATGAATACAGCTCCCTAAGTTACAACTAGGTGGATCTAAAACGGTAAAACTTTCGGATGAGAGAGCAGTTGGGATATGAGTTGAAAAGCCTTCTGCTCCAAATGAAGTAGAACTTCCCTCAAAAAGCAATAATCAGCATGACAAATCAATGTATTTTAATTTGAAAATGAAAATTTTGAAATGACTTAGAGGAAAAAATCAGATGCACCAAGAAACTTTCTTTGGTTGGGAGAAAAAAATTCGATAAAACAACATCCTTCGACGATAACAACACAGAAGTACCATGAAGCTGAAACATTTACATTTTCAGCCAACATGAAATGCTAAAAAATCTATCGACAATATCAGTACAATGGTTATTTAGAAGCTCAAAATGCCAGTCAAGCATGCATGGAATAACTACACATTCCTGTTTGTAGGATCTAAGTATCACATAAAATTTCAGGACCAAAGAATTATCTGCTGTATCCATACTCAGGATATGGTTGAACTTTCTAATCGGATCATCTGGCCTGCTGAGCTAACATAGCCTGCAAGTTCATAGGATGGCACATCTCGGTGTGCAGGCCAGACCACACATTGTCAGCCAGGACTGCATTAACAGCATCAGTTGGATGAAATTGGTCCCACCAAATATGATTGGACGCGTTAATGCAAGCCATTTCAGGTGAAATGCACATGATCCAACCCCTATACATACCTAAGCCACAGCAAGCATCGGTTGTGACATTGAAACCTGAAATGGGATCAAAAATTACAGTACAAAACAAACTGCTAGAGGTGGATCTCAATAAAATGGAAGAAAAGATTCTCTCACCATAAAGGTCATGATTCTTTATAATATCCATGGAACCTTCAAACACATCACAGAAGATTACATTGGCATCAATAAGCTCTTGATTGAGTTCCTCAACCGTGTGCCTGATGACAAAGTTGAACTCCAATATCATGTCATTTATCATTTTGACACACTCTCCATCCTTGCTTTCATACTGCCACAGATAGTATGGAGCACAACCGATAGGAGCTAATCCCATTACCACCACTCTCCTGACATTAGAGTGGTACAAGTTCTGTACCATCAATATAAATTAGAAGATTACTAAAGCTAACTATGTAAATGTAAAAGAAATATTTTCAGTTTGCAAGTATGGGATTGATGCAGTATTCGGGATTTAAATCAGAAAAAAGCCATAAATCTTTCCTAATCCCAAAAAATGTGCCGTTGATATACAGACGTGAAGATGAAAGTGTGGTAAAATACAAAAATGTAGAATTATGAATAAATATGTTTTGGGATGGTAAATAAATCAAGAAATAATAGACAAAGATGACTTGGATAAAAAGATCTATAACTATATCACTAAGGAAGACTGATATGATAATATGTTATGAAAATGCTAGGGATATAGATAACTGAAATTAATGTCGTCTGAGATAATAACGAAGAATATGATAACTTAAAATTCATAAAAAACATGGCCATAGCATAATGACGGAACATGATGTATATATCCGATTTCAAATTCGCTTCCTCCCAGGGAATATAACTTGCAGTAAAGCGGTGTATAAAAGAATAAACAAACTTGATAGCCAAGATACCAAAATTTTATACAGGTCAAGTGAACTGCTGAAATTCTCTAAGTATTAACCTAAAATCTTGCAGACATCATGTTTTGAACAACTCAGAATATGCAACAGAAACACGTAAGATAATCACCTTAATCTCCTGCTTCATTGTCTGTGCTAAGAACTGGTTGAAACTCCATGGTACATATAGAGATTGCACGTTGGATACATTTCGGAGATAATAATGTATATAGTCATTTGTTCCGATAGATATGTAAAATATAGAGTTAGAGATGAGCTTAGCTGCTGCATCCTCGCCCATGCTCAGTATAAACAGCTGAGTAGTATCTGTGACCTGCTGAATTTGCTGCGCAAAGGAAATGTGCTGACCCTGTACAGAATTATATGATCAAGGATTGCTACTGCCTCATCAGTAACCATAGTATCAAAAGTTTGCTGATTATGGCATTCTTCTTTCTTCGATGAACTTACCAAAAAAAAAAAAGGCATTCTTCAATGCAATCATACAGTAACATTTTTCTACACGATCACAAACTTACATGGCCCCTTTTTAGGTGAACAAGGTGAACCTAACATACCCCTAAAGGGCATGGGGTAGGAAGTGGGACTACATCCTAGGTCGTACCTTGAAATGAGCAGCTCCTTAACTACTTGGACAAACCCATTTGCTCAACTTACACAGGCCACTTAACCTCCATGCCTAATTTAGTCCCATAAATTATGTCAAAGAGGCAAAAAGAAAATTTGGTTAAGCAAATAACAATTAGTTTATAAAAGGTTGAGTGGGTAGTCATTACAAACAAACAACATACTGAAAATTATTACATTTTCTTAACATAAAATACAGACCAAATATTCAATCTGTCATCAGAAATTATTGCTATTTTCCCATTGCAGAGTATAAATTGAAACTTTTTTTTCATTAATGCAGGGTTTGAATACTTCATAAGACAAACTCACCCCGTAGGGACAGAGATGTTCTACTAAGCAGCTTCAAGCAGTTTCAATTTTACAAATAAAGACTGAAGCAGTCATGGCCCGCATATAAAGTGACTGGTGTTGATCAGTTGAATTCAATGTGTACGGATAACAGAAAACCTACCAATTCTGACCCACTCGAGAATATGATTCCAGCACCAGCAGAAGCGTAATTCACTCCAAGACTCATACCTTCAACAGAACCCATCTGCCCAAGATAACTAGGTACAAATGGAAGCCCAAGACGCAATGCTGATCAAAGCAAACAAAGAATTAATTTGTGATGCTCAAAACTACCATTCAAGAAACATCAATTCCCATAAGACTATGCCTCAAAGTCCAGGTTACAATGAAGAACTACCATCCAAAAATACAAGATTAAGACTTGTTTCAAAGTAATACACTTCTTAATTACTGAATAAAAAATTTGAATAAAAACATAAAAAGACCACAAGAAAGCCAAACTGAATCCATACTAAAACCTGCAATTCATTCTTTATTTTCCTCTTTTAGAAACAAAAAATAGCAAGAAATTAGAACAGCCAATATGTAATTTTCTTAGAACTTCATTCGTTATTTCCAGAAGCCAAGTAGAAAATCAAGAAAACGAATTTTACCAAGATAGTCAACGGGGATTCTTCCGTTACAGAACCGTCCGGTGGGTCGGTGAGTATCGAAATCTCGTCCATAAGGAAGACGATCGGCACGAGCAAATGTTCCTAGGAAATTATTGGTGCCACAGTCGACGGAGGAGTCCCCGATGACGAATAAGGCCGGAACAAGAGGAGGAGGAGGAGGAGGAGAAGTTGGGGTTAGAGAGACTGAGAAACCTCCTGGTTCAGGTGCAGACGCTGTCGGGCTAGTGAAAAGGTCGGCCAGGTCAGGGTAGACTTCAGTGTCGAGTTCTTGAGGGTACTGTAGAGCTCTAATGGGTTGGAGAAACATGGTGAAGAAGAGAACCAAGAAAGCGAAAAGCACGGGTGAGTCCATGGACTCCGCGAGAGAGAGAGAGAGACTGAGGCGGTATGTATTGGCGGGCAAAAAGGCAGTTGAATTACAGATGGAAACTCGTAAATGCCCTTGTGTTTGTAACTTTTAAAGTTTAGTAACGATACAGTCACTTAAAAAATAGATTTAAAAATTAAATTTAATAATCTCAACTATTGAATAGGCAGTGAATTTCAATAAATAATAGGACTCACACTGAAATCAATTATTGAGATTATCAAATCTAATTTTTAAATTTATTTTTTAAGTATATATAACATTACTCTTTAAAGTTTGCTTATATGGTAGGTAATATGGAGGAATTGTCGACTTTCTAAATAAAACATTAAACAACTTTTTAAGAATAGGTTACGAGAGAATTATCTCACAAATATTTTAGTTTGGGTGTAGATAGTTTATTTTTAATCAATTCAGAGAGGAAATTAGTTAAAATAAGTGTAAACACTCAAAACCGTTAAACAATTTTTTTTTTTTTTAATGTGCAACTTTGCAATGGTGGAAACTAATGATTTTTTGTTTTTTTTTTTAGGAAAGAAACGATGTAAATTCGATTAATTAGAAATATCCTAGATGCAAACTAAACAGGCCCTTAAATTCACGTGAAGCTCTCCAAATGTCAGCCAAAACAAGACCTAAAGGCTCAAAATCATCTCTTACATTCGAGATCATCTTCATCACATTAGCTGAATCGCCTTCCAAAATAAATTCATCACATTCGTATTGTTGAGCAAATAGGACAGCCTCTCTCGCAACAAGGACTTCAGTCGAATGCACAACATAGAAAAAAAGTAATTTTCTTGGATACCAACTCTAAAAACCCCGCACATTCATCCCTAATAATCACTTCAACTCTAATAGTCCATTCGAAATCAAACACAGCCCCATCAAAATTTACTTTCAAACAACCAACCATTGGAGGAAACTAATGGGTAATAGCGGTTGTCATTTGGGATTGACTATTAGTGTCTATGGCTTGTTCGTAATTGTTGGGTGTCCATTCTTATGCCTTCTCACTGGGACCCAATTCAAATTAAAGATATGTGCATGTGTGCATTGGAAGAGTCTAGCATAAGCCAAAAATTGAAGACCTTTTGTCTTCCAAGTTGCCTGACTGGTTTACCCTTTGATTGGGAAAAAAATCTATTAAAAAAATAATGTGAGTGTATAGATTCTTTTGTGAGAGAAAAGTGGAAGACAACAACTCACTTCTTGTTCTTGTTCAAGACTCATTTTTACTCTGATCAAGCTGAAAATTCAGGGACATATTCCTCACTTCCACAACTGGTTTCTACTATTTTGGGTCGTCAATCGAACTCTTCTACAGCTGGTTTTCAGTGACACAAGTTTAGCCACTTTGATGAGATCTTTTTAGTTACTTTGTGTTAAAATCCACCTAAGGGTGAAGTTTTTATGTTTGGGAGTCAATGATATGTTTTTCTCTTGATGTTTGATATCTCTAGTTGTGCCTAGAAGACTTGTAATCCTACTTTCGTTAATAGTGGAGAGATTGGACCAAGTTTGATATCGTAGTTTTTTTTCATCGCCTTGAAGGGTTTTTATGTTAAAAATTTTGTGTTTCTTTTTGTTGGTTTGTTTTGCTTATTGTGCTTGTTTGTGGTTTTGGTTTGCTTATTGTGCTTGTTTGTGATTTTGGTTATTTTTTATTGATTTGCACATACAGGAAAAATCACTAGTTTTTTTCAACAAGTGGTATTAGAGCACAGGTTGGTTTCGGTTTATTTCGTGTGTAAATCATGAAAGGTAATGTGAGGCATATGGTTAGCTTCAATGGAACCAATTGGGTGACATGGAAGACTAAAATGGAAGACTTTTTGTATTGTAAAGATCTTTATGGACCCATAGAAGGTGAAAAAGGTCAACCCCTAGGTATGATAGATGGTGAGTGGACCAAGCTTAATCAAAAGGCCGTCAGGTTTAGTCGTCAATGGATTGATGACAGTTTTTTCCACCATGTCTCTACAGAAAATTCAGCACACTCTCTGTGGCAAAAATTAGAGAGTCTTTATGAGATGAAAACGGCCGTTAACAAGGCTTTTTTTGTTTCGAAAGCTTGTTAATCTAAAGTATAAAGAGGGTAGCTCTATTGCGGAACATTTAAATGAAATGAAAAGTATTGTAAATCAATTTTCCTCCATGAAGATTCTTTTTGATGATGAGTTACAAGTTTTGTTGCTTCTTAGTTCCTTGTCGAAAAGTTGGGAGACCTTAGTAGTAACAGTTAGTAACTCTGCCCCCGATGGAATTGTCACAATGAGGCAAGTGACTAGTAGTTTGCTAAATGGAGAGACAAGAAGGAAGTCATCTAGTTCTTCTCATTCCGAAGCACTTGTCATGGAGAAACGAGGAAGAAGTAAAAGTAGAACACCTCACAACCATGATAAATCACGAGGAACTTCAAGTTCAAGGAAAAATATAGAGTGTCATTATTGTCACAAGAAAGGGCACATAAAGAGAGAGTGTAGAAAACTCAAGAATGATCAAAAGAAAGAAAAAGGTGATGAAAAGAAGCAAGAAGATACTACCACAATCACTTTAGATGGTAACATCATTGTTGTGTGCGTTGACGGTTGTGTCAATTTCATGTGTCAAGAGAGTAGTTGAGTGATTGATTCCGGTGCTTCATTTTATGTTACTTCGAGGGCTGATTTCTTCACATCTTACACTCAAGGAGATTTTGGATTTGTTTGAATGGAAAATAAGGGCTTATCTAAAATTATGGGTGTTGAAAATATTTGCTTGGAGACAAATATTGGTTTCAAGTTGTTGCTTAAAAAAGTGAGGCATGTCTCAGACATTCGGCTTAATTTGATTTCCACGAGGAAACTTGATGATGAGGGCTACAACAACCACTTCGGTGATAGAAAATGGAAGCTTACTAAAGGATCTTGGTTGTGGCTAAAGGGAAGAAAAACTGTATTCTTTACTCAATGGAAGCAAAAATCAGTAAGAGTGAAGCTAATGCACTTGAGAATGATTCCTCCACTAAGCTATGGCATAAACGGCTCGGGTATATAAATGAAAAAGGATTTGCAAATTCTGTCCAAGAAACAGCTCCTACCGGAAATGAAAGGTACACCTCTCAAAACATGTATTTTTCGTAGGAACTTTGCATCTAGATAGACTAATGTTTTGGATTTGATATATTCAGATATGTGTGGTCCTATGAAAGTTAGAACACTTTGTGATACACTCTATTTTGTTACCTTTATTAATGACCATTAAAGAAATGTGTGGGCATATGCATTGAAGAGCAAAGATCAAGTGCTAGAAGTATTTAAACATTTTCATGTCAAGGTGGAAAGAGAAATGGGGAGGAAATTGAAATGCATTCATACGAACAATGGTGGTGAGTACCTAGGACCATTTATGGTTATTGTGATACTCATGGGATTAGACATGAGAAAACAGATCGCAAGACTCCTCAACAAAATGGAGTTGTTGAGAAGATGAATTGCACTATTGTTGAAAGGATTAGGTGTATGTTTTCACATGCTAAACTACCCAGATCCTTTTGGGGTGAGGCAATGCGGAAAACAATTGACTTAATTAATCTTTATCCTTCGGTTCCTTTGCATGGTGAAGTGCCCGAAAAAGTTTGGAAAGGTAAAGACGTTTCATATGCTCACTTGAAAGTTTTGGGTTGTAGGGCATTCATTCACATACCCAAAGATAAGAGGTCTAAACTTGATTTTAAGACAAAGCAATACATATTTTTTGGATATGCACATGAGAAAATTTGGCATAGATTGTGGGATTCGACCGATAAGAAACTTGTTAGAAGTAGGGATGTTGTCTTTCTTGAAGATCAAACAATTGAAGACTTGAAAAAGGTTGAGCAATCTGAGACTTATATTGATGATCTCATTGACTTGGATCCGATTTCTTCTCCTATTGTGCATGATGAAAATGGGGAAGAGATGCAGCCACTTCATGATGATGAAGTAGATGATGGGATTCCAAATGATGTTGAGCTAGAAAAATAGGAGGAGTTTCCAACTCAAGAGCCACCACCATAACCCGAGTTAAGAAGACCTATGAGAGAGCAGCAACCATCCAAAAGGTATACTTCAAATGAGTATGTGATGCTATCCAACGGGGGAGAGCCTGAGACTTATCAAGAAGCCTTAAGGCATGAGCACAAAGATGAATGGTTCAAAGTTATGCAAGAAGAGATGAAGTCCTAACGGAAAGAATCACACATAAGAGTTAGTGAATCTTCCTAACGGAAAGAAAGTGCTGAAAATAAATGGGTATTCCGATTGAAGAATGATGAGAAGATCTCTAAACTAAAGTACAAAGCACAACTTGTTGTCAAAGGCTTTGGGTAGAAAAAGGGAGTGGACTTTGATGAGATTTTCTCCCACATGGTGAAGATGTCATCCATTATAGTTGTTCTTAGCATGGTTGCAAGTATGGACTTGGAAAATTGAGCAACTTAATGTGAAGACCGCCTTTCTCCATGGAGATTTAGATGAGAAAATCTACCGGGAGCAGCCCAAAGATTTTAAAAACAAAGGGAATGAGTATCTAGTTTGCAAGTTAAAGAAGAGCTTGTATGAATTGAAGCAAGCGTCGAGGCAATAGTACAAGAAATTCGATTCTTTCATGATGGATCATAGGTATTCTAGAACCAATTCCGATAATTGTGTGTTTATGAAAAAATTTCCAGATGATAATTTTATCATTCTCTTGTTATATGTTGACGACATGCTTATTGTGGGTCAAGATTCTACCAAGATTGACAAATTGAACATGGAGCTCAACAAGTCATTTGTCATGAAGAACTTAGGATCGGTAAAACAAATTCTTGGTATGAAAATTCTTCGTGATCGAAAGAGTGGACAACTTTGGTTGTCACAAGAGAACTACATTGAAAAAGTACTTGAAAGGTTCAAAATGAACAAAGCAAAGCCAGTTAGATCTCCACTTGCAAGCCACTTCAAGTTTAGCTCAATTCAATA